GGGGGTGGTTGTTACCAGCGTAGTGCAGAGGAGCATCTTTGTCCAGGGCGAACAGGGGGGGGTTGAGCAGCACCGTGTTGTCGTTCTCCATGACGATCCCCTGGTACTCTGTCTCGATCCATGGCTTGTGCTTATTGGCTGAACGGCACAGGGAGAAGACCAAAGAGGCTTTGGGTTAAATGGAGCAATTAGAAAAAACCATCGTGTCTATTTTTAAACACTCCATTATGGAAGAGGGCACGGTGAAGTGGGAGAAAACACAATGCACGTATGACCACAAGGACACAGTTTAATCACAGTCGCACAGTTCCTCAGTCTTTCTCCATCAAGGGCCCCTCTGCACACCTTCCCATTCGGCAGTGTAATTAAAGCCAGTCAGATTTCACCTTATCACACACACAGGGAGCTCTATTGCTCGTATCAATCAGACAAACTGGTCTGCCACGGGCGGCACATCGTAATGCGGGAAGGAACAGCAGAGTCAAAATCAAATGCCCGAGGTTTAATGTGAATCTAACCTTTAATTGCGAATTAATTATTCATCCTTGTGCTGAATGTTCTGCGCTGAGCGATCAAAGGGCAAGTTAATGAGCCAGAAGGATGACGATGTTACACCCCAGCAAAGAGCATAAACAAAATAGTGCCTCCTCTCCTGTTTGCTCAATCTCTCTCTTAACGCCGTGGAGTTTGGAATCAGACAGAAGCACAAGAGTCGTGTTTAGCAATTGCTTTGTTGTCTTCACAGTGAATCTTCCAGAAAAGTCTGACTGGAACTAATTGCGCGGTCTCGTCTGTGAGCGGAGAGTCGACAGAGGAAAACGCTGCTGGTTCTGAATCTGATCATACCGCTCTCTTCAAAGACAGGGCCGGGTGCCGCTTGAGTTTTCCGATTATGGAGCCATTCAAACACTTTTTTGTAAACCTTACTGGAGAATATAAATGTGTTTTGTTCCTCAGTGGTGGAAAGTGATTTAGCTCTACTCCTCAAGCACTCCTTTAACTACAAATTGGTGCTACTACACTCAATTAAAGATGGAAATCATTACTAATAACTATAACTAATTCAACATTTGCTCAACAACATTAAAATGCTGCTTATTAATTATTAGAATTACATTTTTTATTACACTACTTTGAAAGAGGCTATTATTCTGGAGACTGCTCTTTCATAACATTTAGCTGATAATAGATTAATTCCATTTTGAATGCAGTACTTTCACCTGAAAATAGGTATTTTTACATTAAAGTGGACCTATCATGCTATATTTGAATAATATAGTGTAGGACCATACCTATATAAGGCATATTTATACTTTTTTTTTTCAAAATACCAAACAGATCATGCATTTTAGCCATGCCTCATTTTGCTCAATTTGAAAAATGTTAGCTCTGTTTTTGCAAGGGCTGATTCTGTGAGAACAGCACCATCTACTGGCCTGGCATATGTACTACAGCGTCTCCAGCGCTTTCCAACGGCAATGGCCGTGGCTGTCTCCTCCTGATAGGTGGAGTTGGCCCAATAGCCGTAGCGCCACCGTCCTGACGTCAGGACAGTGTTCAAATCTGGATCAGTTTTTATCAGATCCGTTGCAGCCCCTTTTTTAGAGATTTGGGTATGGAGGAAAATAGAGAGGGTTGTGTTTTCTGACACTTGGTGAGTTCCCTGGAACACCGGGGACACATATTCATGTATAAAAGACGTACAAAAGTGCATTTTGCATGATAGGTCCCCTTTAAGGTATTGCTACTCTTAGAGTCAACGTGAATAGATATTTCACCAAAGCGGTCTAAAGAAAAAAAATAAGCATTTAATTTAACATTTTTAAGCACAATACCCAACATTTATGCTTTTAAATCAGGAGGATTTGCTGCTTTTCTTGGTCTTATGTGAGAATAAAAAGGGCCAGAGAACCTTAAATGGCCTTCAGAAAAAGAAAACAAATCCACAATTGTTTCACTTATTCTAAACTATATGATTAATCAAGAAGAAGATACATCTGCAGATTGAACAACACTTACATATTTAGAGGCCTAAAAGATCTCAACCTTCCTGCGACAGAAGCTAAAATGCTCAAATCTTCTGCATAGATTTTCCAACACGAGCGTCTACACAAGAACAAAATACTCCCAAACTGGCAAAGTCAGGATTCAGATAAGCACGTAATCACAGAATAAGTAAATGGCACAATCTTGAATTCTATGTTTCAGTACTGAGGAGGAATTGAGGTTCAATCAGAGATATTCATCCTCTCCTCTCAAGGTCTATCCTGACACCCTGTCCTCCTCCTCCTCCTCCCCCTCCTCCTCTGCCTCATCTATTTCCAGTCGTCTGCCATGTCTCTTTTTTGGTCATTTATCTCCCGCCCTCTGTCCCCACAGTTGATCCCCGCCCCTCCCTCCTCCGCTCTGCTCCATAGCATTAATCTGAGCATCAGGCCCGTGGATTACATCCGGGATTACAGATTGAGAGGCATCCCATCTCTCTCTCCTGGCACTCTCCTCGCCTGACACACACACACACACACACACACACACACACACACACACACACACACACACACACACACACACACACACACACACACACACACACACACACACACACACACACACACACACACACACACACACACACACACACACACACACACACACACACACACACACACACACACACACACACACACACACACACACACACACACACATTCCTATTCCCTCGTGTCACCTGATCTCACGTACCACCACCACCTCTTCTTGTTCCTGCTCCTCCCTGCTTATCAGCCAGCGTCTTTTTCGGCCTCTCCTGTCACATTTATTCCAACATTTCCCCCATCTTTGACACTCCATCTCCCCTTCCTCGTCTCCCCCTCTTCATCCCTCTCCTCCACCCCCACCCCCACCTCCTCCCTTGTCTGTTTTTATTCTCCTTTTCCCCCCAGCTTGATCATCATTGTAACAATGATGTTGAATCAGAGTCGTGGTTACCCAGGATGATGAATCTGCTGCAAACAGATTCATCATCTTCTCAGAGAGTCACATCACGGGAGAAAAGCGGCACATGCACACTGCGGGGTCACGAAACACACACACATGCATGCATATAAAGCCTATTTGTGGAGTAAAACACAGGTAAAGGAGAGCAGCTTCGGGGTAAAACAGCAGCATGGCACGTTGAAAGGTCTCAGTGCTCCCGTGAGGATGTCAGCCGTCATCTCAACACATCACAATTAACACAATGACGGGGAAACTGACCTTTGTTGCTACTGGCAACTGAAGTCAAGCAAAGGAGGAAGAAGGAGAGAAAATTCATTCTGTCCATCTGAGGGAGGAACGGAGAGGTGGGGGGTGAGGAAAGAGGGGAGGAATACAGTACATGCATCAACAATCAGCACAGGAAGAGACAGGTACAGTAACAAGAGGCAGCGAGAGAGTGCACAAAGTGTCACGTATGTAACCTTTAAGATAAAAGAGACCCTTCAAAAATAAACTCCAACTTCATTCAGAGGCAGCATAAACCAATAATGCATCATTATTTCCGCATTTTCCACAAAAATCTACCTGATAAGCGTGCAGAGCCTGCGTGCACATACCTGCTCGTGAGTGTGTCCTGTATGTCACTATGTGTATATGTGTGTGTGTCTACAATTGGTTTTGCATGTGGCTGTGTGGGTGTTTGCCCCTGTTTTAATTGTGGTTTGTGGAAGTGGGGAAAAAAATGCAGCTGCTGTCTTGTGGCCACAAATGAAAAATGAGTCCTTGGGGGGTTTTTAGGCTCTCATTGACATAACAAGCCTCTTCCACTGCTGCAGTCCTTGATATAGGCTACAGGACATACTCTGCAGATCTAATATATAGAGAAAAAAACTGCGAATATATAACAGGGGGCTCCATCTGGTCACAGGTCGCTACACACACATACAAGAGTATACATGCTATGCGACAATAATCAGATTACATTACAGGCTGATGTTGACACACATTACCAGCTCCTATAAATGCGTTGTTACAGCTTGGAGAGGCAGGGGAGGAAATGTCGCAGAAAATGAAGGTTAGCTGAAGCCAGATTTGACATTACCGTGGTGCTGAGTGTGTGACGGTGATGCTCCCGGTTGGTACCCAGACTTTACGCTCGCAGCATCCGCCTCTCACGCCCTGCCGCTCGGCTCGGAAATCCCCTCCTGCGGGGCTGGAAACCAAAACCTCCAGGTGGGGGAGGAAGAGGAAGAGGAGATAGAGATGAGTGTTTACAGCTGAGGAAATGACAAATTGAGACGTATATTCAGCCTAGATTTGGTGGCGAGGAAGATGAGAGCGATGGATGCCCTTGTTTTTTCGGCTCTACACGGAGGAGAGAAAAAACGGTGGGAATATTACGCTGCGTCCCCTCCCTCTCAGTGCTTCTTATCCCGCCCACACTGCGTCCTTCTCCCCTCTCTCTCCCTCTCTCTCTCTCCCTCCCTCCCCTCCAGACTGCTGCTCTGGCTCTTTTTTGCTGTTGAACGCACATTGAGAGTGACTCAGACCCAGCAATTCATCTGTTTATTCTCAGCTTTAAGGCACCCTTTGCCCCCCTCTCATCACAACTCCCCTTTGCCTTATAAATACAAATATTAATTCCCCACTGCTAAAGCTTTCCATCACCAGACTGCAACATGACGTCATATTACCCCCTTGCTGCCCATCGTGTCACACTTATAAAACCAATATACAAAGTCATTCAAACTAGCTGCACCTTTACCAGCTTTGAGAACACTTTGATGATCAATCATTATAAAACATATCATATATATTATTCTGACATGGACCAATCTGCACGATGATTACTTTTGGTACTTATAGTATATTTTGATGCCAATACTTATTTGAGTGCAGGACTTTTAATTGTAACAGGGTATTCCTACACTCTGCTACTTCTACTTTTACTCAAGTACAAGATCCTTACTTACCACCTCTGCCAATGGGACACACACACACACACACACGCAATAACTAGAGGCCTTGCTTGAAATGCAGCATTTTTAATGAACATTATAAAATTGTATTTGAAAATCACTTCCCCTCCCTCCCTTTCCCAAATCCATCCCCAAGTTTGTTTTTCCTTTTTGTACATTTGGTAGGAATAAGGCAAAAAAGTAGTCTCTTGAAATAGCAATTCACATCAATTAATAATCACCATGTCATGTATAAATATTACTAAAAATCTGGGCTGTTGCTACAGTGAGGTTCGTCCTGTCCATGTGTGTGTCGGACGGCAGCAGCAGCAGCTTCCTCCAGCATGCCATGGATCAGACAATCCAGCCCCCCACCCCTACCCCTACCCCTACCCCATAACCCTACCCCCCAAACAAGATTAAACTAACCAGAGGCATTCCCCCAGTGGGATGCTTCTACTTCACCCTCTTTAAATACCGCCTGCTGTTACAAACAGAAGAGCGGTGATTCTTTTTGTTTCCGTTGCTTCCAGTTCACATATTCGTCATTTTGAAAACACCATATGGAGATCATAGTGGAGATAGGATGAATGCAGAGAGTTGACTGTAGTGAGCGTGTTATTGGGCAGTGTTCAAGTCGTCTTCTGCAATGTTTCACTTTTGCATCTGTGCATTTCCGAGCTGAAGGACAGAGGAGTGGAGGAGACTGAAGAGAGGGAGAGGAGGAAACATGGAACAAAAGAAAACCTCAAGGAACATCAAACCAGAGAAAAAGTAAGGGAACAATGCAAATTATCTCATGAAATATTATCCCAAAGCTACAAAATGTTCTTTTTTTTCATATTAAAACTCTATAAAATCAAGTTTTTTTATATCCCCATCACAAATCAAAAACCAAAACAAATGTACTGTAAAAACATTCATTAATACAAGGCCATTTTGAGTTGGGGATTAGTGTACAGTGTGTGATTTACAGTGCTTGTATAACCACTGGCAGCCATTTTCAAGAAATAACCTCTCCTGATAATTATTATTAATATCATTATTATTATTATAATCAGGTCTTTTTGCACAAAGCATTTTTGTTGTATTACATTAGAAAGAGCCACATGTGCTGGCGCTGTGCTTTAACCTCCTGTGAAGTCTCGCTGCTGCAAAAATGTGGGCGGTAGACGTGAGAGAGAAATGAGAACAAAAAACACATCGGAGCCGTTGACTCTGAACCCGTTACTGTTGAGTGCAATTCTGTGTCGACAGCATGAAAGTCTCTCAAGTTCAACAACAAGTCCAACGTTTCTTTACAAAAAAAAAAAAAAAACAGGAAATCGCTCCTGATTGGCTCACAATTACCCCATGTGGCACGATGGTCATTTCCTGTAAACATTTCTCCGAATGTTTATAAAAAACACCCTTCCCGTTTAAAACACAAAAATATATAGAAATTTATTTTTTCATGGACATATATATTACTAAAGGCCTTAAAATATGTTCCATTCTGCTCCTCGAAAGTCGCAGTTCCCTTCAGTGGATAGTTAGCCTTAGTCGGACCTGGAACGAAACAGATATTTAAAACGGATTATTGACAGTTCAATCATTACTGAAACGTAACGACATTGCATACAAAAAGGCCTGCATTTGCTTACCATGCCGTTTTAGTACCAAGTTTTAATCCTGCTTTATCTCGCTCCGTTCTTTCCTAGGCACCAGCGCCTTTCGGAGATGTGGCATGGCTAAATAGGCTACGAGGAAGAATACGTGACCACAGAAATAGATGGACGTATACACCTGAAACGCAAAAGATTAAAAAAACAATCAATGGAATTCCAGATTATACGGGTTTGATTTGGCATTACTGGGCAACAATACCAGAATACATTTGACAGCATATTGTAATTCAAGTGGTCAGATAGAAAACGTTGTGATCAGTTTTCAGACATGAGAAAATCAAAACTGACGACCGACTTTTTCCAATCACAGGTCATTCCTATTGGCTGTTCTATCAATCAGCACATATCTCTTCATATGGTGAAATCTTGATTAAACCACATCAAATCCTACGGGAAAAGTTGCTATAACAACATTGGCAACACTCTGCACTTAAAAAGAAGAAAGTCTGGCAATAATAGGGAAGCATCTCAGAGATAGAACAAATGCTGCTAATATGTCAGCCTCCATCCAACCATTGCCAAAGGCGAATAGATCATGGCTGCAGTTAGAATAATCCAAAACTATGAGCAACATTTTCTCTCTCCATCTCTGAACTACTTTGCCAATATTGTAACTTGCTACTTGCACAAGGTTAAAGCTGCAGGATGATGGCTCTGTTTTCAAATGCCAACTCAAGAAAATCGCCGACACTGGAGAACCTCTTGAATGCAATATGTTGACAGGACATAAAGGAATTATTGCCCAATAATAAACCACCTTCCCCAGCTTTTAGTTGACAATCCTATGCAAACAGCTGCTCTGTCTCACCTGTCGCCATCAGAGGGTTTCTGCCTTTGTCCCTGCTATTCTCTCTGCTCACCTCACCTCACACCCCGATCCCCTGACAGGCAACACATGTCCCTCACCGAGCCCCAGGGTAAAAAAACACCAGCCACTCCCTGTTTCAGTGTCCGAAACGTCAGAGTAGCTCACCTGACAGACTGTGTGCCAGATGCTGAAAACACCTGCCTGCTATCTTTTTTTTTAGTAAAATGCCTTGAAGGAAAGAGCCTTAACAAAACAAACCCCTACTTAAACAAATTCTATATTGTAATTCGAATGGTTTCAAACTTGAGAAAATCCAACATCTGAAGGCAGACTTTGGCCATTTTACAGAGAGAGGGTCCTATTGGCTGTTCTATGAATGTAGACGCATATACATGTCCCTTCATATTCTAAAAGCTTGATTAAATGGCAGAACATCTGAATGTTGACATATAATAAAAAGGCTTAATGTTTGTCCTGTATGTTGAAAATAGAGCTGTTGTGATGCAATCAAGACTCAGACTTAAACTGCCAATAAAGCACAATTGTATCGTACAATCAAACAGTTTTTGTTATCCCAAGTTGGTAACCATCTTATATAAAACTGGTTCCTGGTGCTGGTTTCAATAAAGTGACTGGAGAGCCTGTCTTTTACGTTTATTGTCCCAAACACATTTGTGATTCCAAGCGTTTTTGATATGCTCTTACATGGGTAGCAAGTCACGATGCTATGTTTGAATCTCTTACATGATTGAGCAAAGAAATCCCTTAATCACAAATAAAGTGGCATGTATAGATCTCTCTGTATCCATATGCCATATCCCATGCGTGTCTTACCTTGAGCCATTTGTCAAAGGTGAAGAGGCAGACAGAACGGCAACATAGGGGGTAGCCCATGAAGAGCCAGTGGAAAAACTGCTGGACTAAATAGATGAGGGGGTAGAGAGGGCTGTTGGCCAGCTTCGTCAGCAAGGGACTGTCCTTCACTAGCGCCAGGGCCTGAGAGAGAGAGAGAGAGAGAGAGAGAGAGAGAGAGAGAGAGAGAGAGAGAGAGAGAGAGAGAGAGAGAGAGAGAGAGAGAAGAGATAAGATAAGCTATAGCGCGTGCGATGCGCTCGTAGGACCTCCTCTGCTCTCTTAGAATCGCTCTCTCTCTCTCTCTCTCTCCTCTCTCTCTCTCTCTCTTCTCTCATCTCCCTCTCATTTCTCTCATCTTCCTCTTCTGCTCCCTTCGCTCTATGTACTCTCTCCCCCCCACCCAATATTTTTCCTTATACATAAACACCAGTTATATAATAAACTGATGCCAAATTGTGACAGAAGTCAATATTGAATCACATGTTGTTCAGCAGTGAAATGCATTTCATCCATTTTGTTTACGCTATCTAATAACAAGAGACTGTCTCTAGTAAAGAATCGGTTTGCAAACAATTATAGTTTTATTGAAACAAATCCACAACCTAGTAGAAAAACAATACCCAGATGATTTGAGATTCCTGCACATATTTATCTTTAGGATATCCCTGCATCTGCTCAGTATGTGTACCTGTCTCTCTACGGTGATGATGAAGAACTCCATGGAGAAGCACAGGAGGTATCCGGAGTGAAGGCCATGCCAAACAGTGAGAAAGAGGAGTGTGGTCACATGAGACAGGGTCTTATTGCCCAGGAACTTCAACCTCTTGAAGACATGTCTAAAAAAAACAAAAGAGGAAAGAGTTATGGTTTGATTCTCCAGATGAGGGCAGTCAGAAAGCTTAGTGTATCACTGCCCACATGTTAAGCACTCTCACTCACCTGAAAGTTGTTGTTGCATAGCAACTGAGGTTATATTAAAACATTTCAGCAACTTTACATCCCATCATCTTCAAGGGTACTCAGCTATTCAATGCTTGCCAGTGTTAAAGGGTCTTTTTACACACAGAATGCTTTGGAAACTGTTTCTCATAGACTGGTGCACGCTGCAGATGTAAAGAGCGGGTCAGACAAAGTACATGAAGCACTGCGGCTGACATCTTTGTTTCAGTATGCTTGGAACAAAGTGCTCGTCTGATATTAAACAACATAAGACATAACCTTTCTGATGTCCTTAATGGGGGGATCATTGTTTGAACTTCTGGTGTAAGGGACACTTTGTCTTTGATGCCCCTCTCTATAACAGCTGACTTTTATGAAGCCATTTGGAACAGCTATAAAAAAGGTGTTTCAAACGGCACTTAATTGAAAGTAGCTTGTTTGAAGCACACTGACCCCTCGAGGAGCTTCTCCCTATCAGACTTTGTCCTCCTCTCCTCGTACTAATTAGTCATGCCTCTGATTCGCACTGGCTTCTTCCCAACTGTACGTTAGATGAATTTGAAAGCCGTACAGAAGTCATGCACGTTCTTTAAATTCCATTTCAGAGGAAGGAGGTTTAATACAAAACTTAACCCATTTTACATTAAACTGCTTAAGAAGTGGCGCACATGTGACTATAAATAGACTTCTCTTTGTAGGTCAAACAATGAGAGCATTTTGTCATGTCTGTATTTTTTCTGCCAAGGTCATGAAGGCTCTTTATCAACAAGCTTTACCGTATAATGTGGAGTTCTGAAAGAGGGACTGTACTGAAAAGTTTAATGTTCATTTTTTCAGCATGTTTCATTTATTCTGTGTAAGGCGGCGCAAGTATGCTAACTGTTACTCTTTATTTGTCTCATACTGCAGCACCTCTTTTCACCCTCTGTCTGAAACCAGAGCCCAGTCTGCTCTGATTGGTTAGCTGGCCGGCTCTGTTGTGATTGGTCAACCGCTTAGAGATGTCCCGCCCCTTAGCCTATCACGGACAATGTGTTGGAGCGCTAGCCAATAGAGTTAAATAGAGATGTCACTATGTTAACTCCAGAGTGTTGTTAAGCTCAGAAGTCAAAATGTATTAAGATATAAAACAGACATGCAGCCACCTGTATTAATAAAACAGTCCAGCAGCACAAAAAAGTCTATTTATACAACCAAAATAACAAAATCTATTTCTCTGTCTAATGACGTAGAACAGAAAATCCCATTATAAAAGCCATTTGGTGCAGCTCTGCTTGCTGAGAGGAGTGGATCTCCACTACAGAACGATGCCCCTCCTCCTCTCCCAGCTCTCTGTGTCTCATGGTGTGCGTTACGTGTCTAATGCATTCAACTGAAATGGACCATGTAATAAACTGTATGTTTAATAAATTGCTTCGCTCACTGTGGTCGTATGTTTAAAATGGTTTATGCACGAGGCTCCTGCTTGATATCAAACTTTTAACCCCCTCCTCAGATGTGTCTCCCCTCCCTGTGATAACTCCTCTGGTGTTAAAACAAACTGTGAAGAGAGGCTGCAGCAGCATGTGATGCCAGGCTTTTACTGTGAAGCACTGCCACATATGCAGATTGGAGTGAACTATAATACCCCCTCTACTTTACTGCCATCATCTAAATCAATATTTAACTCCTACAATCACGGTTTAAACACAAATGAGATAGCTTAACAGATTTCTCCGGGCTCGGCACTGACCTGGCCACCCAGGCGTTTGTGTTGATGTTGAAGGAAGAGATGGTTCCTCCAAAGAGAGGCGCGGTTTCAAAGACCCACACCTTCATGTTGGCACAGGCGTCCCATCTGTGCTCACCATCCACCACACCGTTGTAGCCTAGTCCCGATAATATACATACACCCTCCTGCAACAAAACATTTTCATCTCGTCAGATCGCACCATAAACCACGAGAACCTGATAAACGGGGAATATTCACATGGGCTGATCAGGGTGTGACAAAAAAAAGATCTAATTATGTGTGAGTGTATGCAAAGGTATGTCAAGGGTGGTGTTTTACTCTTAATGCTCTGTATAGTTAAAATCAGCTGCTGTCTGTAGCTACAGCTTTATACAAGTTATTCAAGGAAACAAATCAGTAGGCCGCTTTTTGACAAACTCATTTCATGCGAATCAAGAGGTTACTTACCGCTATAACCCAACAGCTGACATATTTATACAAGATGACTTTCGCCCAAATCAGAACAAACACACAGCGATACCAGAAGGGCTGAGCCTGTGGAAAACACAACGTTTCATATTTTAGACAAACTACTTTTTTTGTTCTTACAAACTTTAAGCAAAAAAAATAGATGAACATTATCAATATCTAACATTGGAAAATAGTTTATAGGTAAAGTAGCACGTTAACCAGGCATGGCCTAGGAGCAGCAAATACACTTTAAAGGTCCCATGTCATGCTTTTCTGGTTATTACCCGTCCCCTTGTGTGTTATGTAGCTTTCTATGCATGTAAACGGTCTGCAGAGTCACAAACCCTCAAAGTACACCCTGTAGCGAGTAAAACTCTAACACAGAAAAGACCCGTCTATGCTAGATTTCTCTTTTTCCATTGTTTACTTCCTGGGTACAGTGACGTATTTTGGGTATAGTGACGTAACGTAACGGCTCCGCGGATTGGTCCATTTGGACGTTACGTTACGTCCGCGGAGCCATTACTTTTGGACCAATCTGCGGACTTCCTCACACACACACACACACTCGGCGGGACGTTGCGAGGCTAGCTGCTGCGAGGAGCGGGACACTGAGCTGGCTCACTGGTGAGGGGTCAGCGAGACAGCGAGACACCGCGGAACTCAGCCTGGGCACACACACACAAACTCCCAGCCAGGCTGCGGGTGTGTGTGTGTTTCAGGCTGAGTTTTGCTGTGTCTCGCTGTCTCGCAGACGGCCACTGGGCTCACAGGGAGGGGGGGGGCAGGAGCTCCAACAAACCGTTTAGGACAGAGAGTGAATACACATTCTATACAGAGATGCTGTATGAGAAACCAATGTGAGTTTGGAACATTGCACAATATACATTTATTTTAGTATACCTCAACAATGGAATTATGATCAGTAGAAATGGCCATGACATGGGACCTTTAAATATACACATCAACAGAAGACCAAAGAGGTATATATATATATATTTATAAAATATCTATAGAATACACAACATAATGCATATTTTAGAAAACCAAACTACTACAACTAGAGTGTTAAAAGCTTTCCATGTGTTTCTTTTGTATGGCAATGAGGTAAAGAGATGTGCATATTCAGCATGTGCAAGGTTATTGAATGTTATGTTTTTAAATATTGTCGTTCTCACCTCAAACTCATCTGTTAAGAAGTAGCTGTCTGGGTAATAGGGACTAAATATTGTATATATCGTCAGGCAGAGAAAACCCAGAGCAAACCTCTTCATAGCCGGTGTAACGCTGGAGGAGAAAGACGGACGAGATGACGATGGGAGATTAGCGGTGGATATTGCAAACTGCAGGGATCTGATACTGCACAGTTGGTTTATTGTACAGATAGGACTTTTCATCACTGGTGATTGTCTCCCTCTTGTACCTGTTGGGAGGCTTTCCGGGGCTGTCGGTGAGCTCGCCGGCCAGCAGCTTCTGGTAGCTGCGCAGCGTGAACTGGGGCCCCACCAGGAAGCCTCCGTAGAAATAGGAGAAGCCGCACACCTCGAGCAGGGAGGGCACCGAGGGGAGGGCGGACTTCTTCTGCTCTGCACTCAGCTCGGACTGGAGGTTAAGGACATGAGAAGACATATATTAAAGAGGGCAGAAGGAAGGATGAAGAGAGGAGAAGAAGGGAGCAGAGAAGGGCCGATAAGTCCTTTTAACAGCATGTTAGAAGACTCAGGGACAGTTTCATCCCACAGGCCATAAGACTGTTAAACACCTGAACTTTTGAAAGAACAGCCATAACGTTCATCTGTTCAACTTACACATTATACATCTAATATATCATATTCCAATTACTTGTATATAGGCTCTCTTTGCACTTCTATTTTATTTGTATTTACTTGCACTATTGTATCCGTTTTATTGTGTTGCACTGTTGGAGGAGCCTGTGACCTATTGATTTTCATTGATATATCTACACTGTAGCTATGCACACATGACACTAAAAGCCTTGAATTTTGATACAGGAAATATCTAGTTACAAAAGGATGACTTTAGAAAGAATATTGACTGACCACAAACTCAATATCGCTGCACTGAATACTTATTAACTGGCGTTTAACTGCAGGCTGTACACTGTGTACTTAACATTGATAATATTAACCAGATTGGAGCAGATTTGTACATTTTGACACAGATACAACAGAATGAATAAGCACAGCGTAAACACTCATTAGAATACAAATCAAATAATGCAACAGAAGGGGAAAATAACAGCTGTCAGAGACACACGAGAGAGGAACCAAGCTCACTGAAGACGAGTGAAAGAACAGGAAAAAGGAAGGGCTGCTCAAAAGATAGTTTTTGAAAGGAAATGAGGGTGAAACTGGTGAAGGGAGGGCAGGGAATGATATGATGATTCCCTCTACACTGTAGTAGCTATCTCTTTGGGTTGTGTCATTGTGATTAATATTGCATCAATGTGATAAAGGAATTTGGAGTGATCCAGTGTATTAGTCACACTTCCTGTATGTGGTTTAAATAGGGCTGCTCAATTAATCGTATTTTAATCGCAATTACGATTTTGGCTTGCAACGATTATGAAAACAACATAATCGAAATAAAACGATTATTCTTCTTTTTTTTTGGTTTTTGAGTTGAATTACTTAAAGTTCAGGGTAACCAACTGTTAAAAACATACTGTTCACATTTTTCTTTTCAATAAATGGATGTTTTCAAAGTAAATGGATAATCGTTTTTAATAATCGTGATATCAATTATTGACCCAAATAATCGAGATTATGATTTTTGCCATAATCGAGCAGCCCTACGTTTAAATCAATTGAGTTTCAGTAAAAATGTGTCATCGAATGGCGCATTTCCACTACAGCGCGGTTTAAGCGTGCCGTGCCCGGCCCGTGTTTGGTTGCGTTTCCACTAGGCGTAGTTCCGGCTAGCGGGTACTTTTTCACAGTTTTCTGGCTCTCCAAAATCGAGGTTCTTTCCGGGCCAACAACCGAGCTGAGTATGCTAAACTAGTGAGAGAATCGCTGGCAACTACAACAAAATGAACATATTTGACCGTGATTTAATTGTAATACACGTTTCAAAATGATGCCGAAGTAACAACATACTGATACCGGTTAGTAAAAACCATGAATTAATGCTTTGACAAGTCTGCAGACAGACGGCAGGCGGAAAACCTTTTAAAATGCGTGTTTTCTGAATGGAGATCGGCTAAGCTAACTCAGTATATGCTCCGACCGTCCACACTCACAACAACGGCCTATACAGACATAAATAAACCAGCGACTGTATTCACCATGACACAGGCAGTCTGTGGTTTGTACTTGTTTAACTTTTGTCTAGTTTCTGAACAGATATGAGGAGCTGTGAGCTCTGAGTGCTAACAGCTAACGGCTGATGTTGGTTTTGTGTTTCGCATTGAAGATGACGTCACGGCTCCGCCTACACTGCGTTACTATAGTTACTACCCCAGTTCCTAAACTGTAATGGAAACGCAGCATAAAGTGAGCCTGGCCTACCAAGGCCTAACTATACCGTACTAAGCCGTGCGAGGCCCTGCAGAACACATGCAGCAACATCCTCTCAAATGTCCTTTATAGTTTTCTTACTTCCTTTTAAGAGTAGTTTTTAATAGGCTTGGGATTCAAATTCTAGCGCACTCGAGCTGGTTTCTCCATTCTTACCTACCCTACCCTTAAATAATGCAATAATTAGAAATACGCCAACATATATATGAATCTAAGTTTGACAGAATGATATTCTTGCTTTTTTAGTGTTAATGTAAAACTTGTGTTTCCTTGCAGTAGTCAAACGAATTGTCGACTGAATACAAAACATTTTCAACTTATCCTGGTAAAAGTACTCTCAACTAATAAAATGTTAATTAAATTCAGAAAAAATACCCCAGGAGTGATTTGGATTAAAAAGAAAAAAGAAAAACGATTCTAGGATAAGAAGAAAAATAAGGAGGACATTGGTTTTTATATAATTCCACGAAGGAGGCCTATAAATTACATATACCACACCATTTCTCCCTCATCATCACACACCCTCTGCTGATATTTCTCTCCCCTTTATTGTGTCCCGTTTCTCCCGCTCTACTCTCGCGTCTTGTCTTTTCTCCACAGAGCCTTTAGTAGGCAAATAGAGCGCGTCTGACTGCAGCTACGTATAAAGGAGGGAAGGCCGAGGGGTCAGAGCAGCTCCTCACAGACACAAAGCCCCTTTGTTATGTTGCAGTTATCTTAATACCGCTCTGGGTTGGTGGTAGTCATGCTTTAAGGTTTCTGTCACTATAGACTAATTTCAGCCTCTCCATTTTGAATATTTGAATATTTTTTTACATGATAGGAAAGGAAATCTTTGAGTTTTGAGCTGAACATTTTGATTTTTTGATTAACAGGGTATATGCAGGAATCCTGAAGTCACATGTAATACTTTTTAAGACCTTTTTTAAGACCCTTTCCATACATTTTAAGACCTCATCGCCACTTTGAGTTTTAACCGGTTACATTGGCGACACACTTGACCTCACATTTACTATATACAGTATTGATTGTCCTTCCTCCTTATCTTCCAACCATTTGGACTGTAGAATACAACCTCTTTGGACAATTTATATACTTATTGCAAACAAGCTACAAAATGGAAAATGCCGTTTAATACTTTTTAATAGCCTTCATTTTGGCTAAATTGATTTATCAACTTTTAATACTTTTTAAGACCCCGCGGACACCCTGATTAAGTCTTTGAAATACAACTTTTAGGCTGGGATATTTCTGCAGCTCCACAATACTTAAAAATGTGGTTTTAACAGGTCTTACCATTTAATAAATATTGTGCTTTCTGTAAATGTAATAATGAACTAGCCCATTTTGCAATTTTGAATAAATCTGTATGTTTTCACATCGTGATCGTCTGCTTGTTTTTGGTGAAAACAATCAGATATCCTGCAACAACTCATCTGCCTTTTCTTCCACACGACAGAATGACACAAATAAAATTACAATTACAGGAACTAACAGACAACAAACAAACGAAGGACATTCCAAGACAGACCACATGAACGAGGAACGAGGAAACAGGCAAAAGCAAAGAGATCAACAAACTCACTGGTTCCTTCCCGCCGTCATAGTAATCAAATGACAAACCTGTAATCAGAAAATGCATCTGGTGTCAGAAACTATGTTAGGGTGACTAGTGCTTGATGTCATTATCATTTTGATGAACACTGTTAAAGCATGCAAAGGCCATGTCAGCAGTTCATCAGTGTGTTAATCACTCACTGGAGAACAGGGGGAGGTAACAACAATGGCATCAGGAAGACATGAAATGGGAAACCATCTGCAAGGAGAGCAAAGAGAGTCAACTCACCAACAAGTTTGAGTGTGAGGACACAATGAGGCATGGTCCACTTGATGTCATACTCCTCTGTCGCTGTGTAGTAATACCCTGCCAGCAGGTACACCTGCAGGAGGAGAGAGGGAGAGGATGACATGACAGAGCAGATGTTTATCAGAGTTCTACATCAGAATCAGAATTCCTTTATCCGTCCCACAGAGGGGAAATGTACATTGTTGCAGCAGTATAGATAGAGACGGGGAAAAAAATAACACACTATTAGATCAAAAAGGCATGCACATAAAACTAGAAGGCAGTATTTATCAAATAAAATAAGTGTAACATTGTAGAATACTGTGTGGTAGTGGGTAGATTGCAGTGATAAGCAAAATGAAATTATATATTTACATAATAACATGCAGAGGCTGGTTGGAATGACTACGTAAGACCCCATTTACACGGGAACGCAAACAAACCGAATTCAATATCAAAAAAGTATTCCGTTCACACGGATACGGCTCAATAAACGTGTCTCGACCCGCTCGACCCGCTGAAGACGCTGTAGTACATAGAGAAAAGTAGCGGATACAACCCGTTTTATTCTCGTGTAAACAGCACCTAAGAAGTAGCAGCCAGTAGTAATAACATAAGCTAGGAACGTATTGGACATAAGTGTTGTTGCCACAAGAAAGAACAGAAAGGGGAAATTCACTAAAACCAATCACAGGAAGTGTGGTGCTGAATACAAAGGAAATCTGACATGAGCACATTCTGTGTAAAACAATGTGGTTTCCATTATCATGCTCCTATAAAAGGGTTGCGCAATAAATGCAAAAGCATGCAAAAACACCGGAACCAGCAATCTCCAAGGAAGGATGTGACTACATCATGAGGTTATTGGTTATAGAGTGGACTGGGATGAGTCCGAAAACCTGGTAAAGAGTCAGCATTGTGCCACTTCTGGTTCTCTCGTCTCAAAGTCAACAGTTTGTTTGTGGTTAGAGGGCTGAAATAAAGTCTGTGGTTAACATAAGCTGAAGAGATTTTAACGCTTTGTTTTCCGTCATAAAATAAGTCAGTTAATACTCCACTTGTTAATATCCAAAGCTTCTATGTGTCATAAAAATGTCGGTTGCCAACAAGTGACTAACTTATCTACTAAACATCATCATGCTGATCATTAGCCAGCCATGTGAACAGGATGTATTTACTTTATAGCTTAACGTTAGCTCTTACTTCTGGCGAGTGCATTTACTCTTAAAAAAAAATCATAAAGTGCTGTTAATATGTTGAAACTATCCTGCTGAACAACACATGTAGGTATTCAAAACGTGTGTTTGTCACTGTTCTTATTTTCTGCAATACAGTAAACCGATATCCAATAGAAAATACCCTTGCTTTTTGTGGAAGGACTCTTTGCGATGCTAACTTCCTGATCGGCCTACTAAAGTACGTCATCAATGCACCACTCTATAGGTGGCACTTATGGCGCATTTCCACTGCAGGGCCTCGCACGGCTTAGTACGGTATAGTTAGGGCTTGGTAGGCCAGGCTCACTTTATGCTGCGTTTCCATTACAGTTTAGGAACTGGGGTAGTAACTATAGTAACGCAGTGTAAGCGGAGTCGTGACGTCATCTTCAATGCGAACCACAAAACCAACATCAGCCGTTAGCTGTTAGCACTCAGAGCTCACAGCTCCTCATATCTGTTCAGAAACTAGACAAAAGTTAAACAAGTACAAACCACAGACTGCCTGTGTCATGGCGAATGCAGTCGCTGGTTTATTTATGTCTGTATAGGCCGTTGTTGTGAGTGTGGACGGTCGGAGCATACTCTGCGTTAGCTTAGCCGATCTCCATTCAGAAAACACGCATTTTAAAAGGTTTTTCGCCTGCCGTCTGTCTGCAGACTTGTCAAAGCATTAATTCATGGTTTTTACTAACCGGTATCAGTATGTTGTTACTTCGGCATCATTTTGAAACGTGTATTACAATTAAATCACGGTCAAATATGTTCATTTTGTTGTAGTTGCCAGCGATTCTCTCTCTAGTTTAGCATACTCAGCCCGGTTGTTGGCCCGGAAAGAACCTCGATTTTGGAGAACCAGAAAACTGTGAAAAAGTACCCGCTAGCCGGAACTACGCCTAGTGGAAACGCAACCAAAAACGGGCCGGGCACGGCACGCTTAAACCGCGCTGTAGTGGAAATGCGCCATTATAGTACAGGTGGAAAACAGAGTGTAGGCATTAACAGGGCAATTAAAGGAAATTGCAGAATGCTGATATTAGACTGTGCAGACAAACAGAAGAAAGAACAAACACCAGAGCCACTGCAGTAGCAGTCTGACAGGGGACCAAAGGGAGATAACGCTATAAAAAAAGTAAGCCTGGATGAATTGGATAAAAAGGGGAGAGGAAATAAAAAGACACAGGGGGACGTCTCACCATTTGAAAGGTAAAGCTGCTCAGGACAGTTGTTACCGTCCTCCCCATGAGCCTCATCATCAGGAACTGGACGAGGACGCATACTGCAGAGTGATAGATCTGAGGGCCTGGGGGAAAAAAGAGGGCAGAGGGGGGGGGGGGGGGGGGGGGGGGGGGGGGGGGGGGGGGGGGATGGTGAGTGCAGTCAAGTGTGACCTGTAGGACTGGACATGGCATGTTTTCCCTCCACACTTCAATACTGGCACAGATGGAAAAAGAACAACAAGGCAAATCCAGCAAACACACATCCCTTTCCAAGAGTGTTGGAAGATGGATGTTAGCAGTTTGTGTTTCACTATGGCATGCTAGTCTTAGCTCTGAAGACGCTTCATTCATTTAACTTTTTATCTTATCTGGAGAAGCACTTCCTACCTTTAAATGTCACTTTAGAAATATAAGGATTGACGAAAACTCAACGATAATCAGTTTTTTTATTATAAGTGACGTGAAAGCATCAAATATTACACATTTTAGACGCTGAGTCGAGCTAATGTTTGACCTTCATGCTAAGAAATTGACAAATAAATGTTATGAATTATAAGAACGGTTGACGAATAATTTTCTGTGGCTTTACTAATAAATGTTTCATTGTCGATTTAAATTAGAAATCTTTGGGGTTCGAACTGTTGGACAAGCAATTTGAAAGCTGACCAAACAATATTTTACATATGAAGACATCTTAAGCAATTAGGTTTTAAACTTAAAAAAAGGCAAGAGTGCTTTCTGTTCAAGTTCAGTCTTTCCTCTGTCACATTATATGTAACCTGTGGAGTTTTTGGAGCATCACATCGGCACTGTATGTTCAATAAAAGAGCTTGATTTTGCCAGTGACGGGCACACATTTGTTATCATAAATTTCTAAAAACATTATGACGTACATTGAGGGTGCGTAATTGCCCTAAAGGATGACGTTGCAGCTAATTTAGTAGGTGCAGCTTGTTCAATAATTGGCCAATTTTGAAGATTGTTGTTCCTTTTAGTCAGTTGAAAGCAAAAACATAGGGAAATTGGCTCCTGGCTGAACACAAGACCTTTGCTAAGGTTCAAGGACACAGGTTTTTTGTTCCTTGGAAATGTATTTAAACATGACTTTTGGTGTGTTTACAAGAAAATAAAAAGTGCAGTTTTAAAGAAGACCCCAAAAAAATCTTAACCACCTCAAAGAATAGGAGCTTCACAACAAAATCTTTAAAACCGAGGCTTCCTCTTCATCTCACCAAAGTTGAATGCAGCTAGAGCCAGTCCAGATATCGCGTGGAACAAGTTTATAACGGTGGCAGTCTGGTAGAACAAATACTTCCGGTACACCAGAGCACAGGGATACCCTACAGGAGAGAGAGAACAAAGGTTAAAAACAGCTTAATATCTGCTAAGAGAGCCATTGTTGACCCCCCCAGATATCAACACCTTGACCTTGTGGTAAAAAAAACACATGGCACATACTCAGCAGCGTGTGTGCGCGTGCGTGCGCGTGCATGTTGCTGCAAATCTGGCATCTCAAGGAGAGAGAAAACTGTCGGACTATGGAGAGGACAAACACTAACCAGGGATCATGGATAAATGTCGTCTTCATTCTGACTCATTATAACATTATTTTTGATGTAAATGGAAACTACTATTCAAACAACTACATTGTAAACATATTTTTCAGAGTTACGATGCATTTCTGGTGTTATTCAAGGTGTTATTTAATTGAGGGGCCAACAAGCACACAATCTGAAATGCCTCTTTTTCTTTGGATGGGATGAAAAAGTCCCTACACCCATTTTCCTCCCTGGGGTTAGCAAATAGTTACAATGTGTGAATATTACATTTCCTTTCCTTAGCTGATGCTTTTATCCAAAGAGACTTACAATAAGTGCAACAGACCTTGAAAATACAAGACATTGCACCAGCTCATATACAATTTCATATTTAAATGTGCTTCATTTGAGCAGTTCCTAATGTAAGTAGCATTGAAGCAACACATTTCCATCTGCCTCAACTGGGTTACTTTTAAAAAGAGGGCAATTCTCTTTAATTGTTTCTAATTGTCAACAAATCCAATGAAGCGACTAAAAGCAACAATGTAGTGTCGGTGCGGTTAAAGGCTAATGTATTCCTCTTTGACCTAGATTGTGGTCTAAACACACCGTTGCACATGATCCTTAATGACGATGAAGAGCAGGGGGCACAGGTTTATTTTAAGTCAACCGCACATGAACCACAGTGCTGCCATATACACACACTGGTGCATATTAATACTTGTGTATTTATATCCAGACCAAGTTGTTCCTATTTGAATGTTAGTTTGCAGTGACCTGGAGTCAAAGTAAACTTTCAAATAGAACGATTGCAGTACAAATATTAAGAAAAAACGATAACAATGTCATCTTTTAAAATAATTAAACCATAGTTTCTACACTTAAAAAAAGTCGTAGGGAAGACAAAGAAATTAAGAACATCTTGATGAAACATACGCAGTCCAATATGTCAAGTGTGGAGCTGCTGTAGGGAATTAGTTGTCTGAACCATGTATGCAAAGTATTTCTAACATCTGAGTGCATTAGTATACATCAGCTCTTGCAAAGTAGTTGGTTTACATCCGCCTATGTTTAGCAGACAATACCTTCTGTTATTTCATGCACCACAGTTGTACCATGGCAGCAATATTATGCAAGCCACATTGAGCAACACAGGGACAAGGATCATGCAACAGGCTGACTTAAGTTTCTTTCAGGCATTAACCAACCAAAGTCTGATCTGCAAGGCCATGTTCAGTGTATTGTATTGCCGGTATGAGGCGACAGAGAGAAATAGACGTGTCCATGTGTCAGAGCAAAGTTCAGAGAGAACAGCATGGAGGACACCCTGTCCCCATCCAGACCTCTGTTACACCCTGTCATTTAAAAGTACTGCAACACATGCTATAATGAAACTGCAGATACTACATTTATGAAAAGGCTCGCTCCAACCTTTTAACCCCCTCACAACGGTCTCCCCTCTACTCAACTGAGTGGAAAAATGGAGGGTAGGGGGCACATTTTGGCAGCCTGAGCTCATTCTCCTTGACAAGCAATTCCCTCCCCCAACAACATTGGGATTATTATTTTCACCAAGACCAGTCTCGATCAATTATGCAAAACCCACAGCACACAAACAATGTTACTTTGGTTTTCTGAATCTTCTGAAAACTGTCCAGCTAGGTTGACATAATTGTGTAAAGTCTGTAAGCTAGTTCAACAATTGGCAAGCTTAGTACAATATTTCACACACACAACTATCATGACAGTGGCAAGTTGGTAGTACCTTTTTGAATGATTTAACATTTAGTAAGTGTACGAATTATTGAAAGGGTTACTGGAGATATACATTCAGTTTCTCAGGATACAATAGTTAATTAGCTAACAAAGCAGCAGTCCAATACAACTTTTAGCTAATTCAACAACATATTACACAGGAAACTAGCAAACACCACTTTCATGTCAGTTATAAGTTAGCCGTTTGTGTTTAGAATCAGTTTAGTTAGTGTGCTATGTTTGTAAAGGCTAACTATATATTTGGTTTCTCTGGATATGTATTTAACTAGCTAACACAGTAGTAGTCCAGCACAACTGGTTCGGTTGCTAGTTCAACAATAAGGTATTGAAACTAAATATTTTACACGAAACTAGCAAACACCACTATCATATCAGTTACAAGTTAGCCGTTGGTATTACTGTTTGGAATGAGTTAACGTTGAGTTGGTGTGGTGTTTATTTTAAGGCTAACACGAGATATATTTAGTTTCTCGGGATATTTATGTACCTAGCGTACACAGTAGTAGTCCAACACAACTGGTTTGGTTGCTATTGCATCAATAAGGAAATTAAACAACATATTACGAAACTAGCAAACACCACTTTCATGCCAGTTATAAGTTAGCCGTTGGTGATGATGTTTTGTATCAGTTTAGTTAGTGTGCTATGTATGTAAAGGCTAACTATAGATACATTTCGTTTCTCGTGATATTTATCTACCTATCTTAAACAGTAGTATTCCAACACAACTGTTTGGTTGCTAGTTCAACATTAAATACATTTAAAAATCATATTTTACACGAAACTAGCAAACACCACTATCATGTCAGTAACAAGTTAGCCGTTGGTGATGATGTTTTGAATGAGTTAACGTTTAGTTAGTGAGCCTTTTTTTGTAAAGGCTAACTAGAGATATGTCTTTTAGCTCAGGTTTTTTTTTAAGGACACTCAATATTTATCCAGCTAACACAGACCAACTGATTTGTAGCTATGTGTCAGTGAGTACCTGGCTGAGCGTTATGTTAGCAGTGAGTGTAACAGTCACACAGAGCACTTAAACCTGCCCGCTGATGGATGCCATTCCGGCTAGCTACACCACAACAACCCGTAAGTGATTCGTGAGGCGACACTCACCGATTAAAATAGATAACATTAGTCGAACTGCTGGCTCCGGGGAACCTAAGGACTCCGAAAGATTCGCCAGCAAGGGAGCCGCCATCTTTCTTGTGGGCGGAAACGTCTCTTCGCGACGGTTCAGTGAACTCTACTGACTCACGGCAGACATCCACACAAACACACGCTCTTTAAAGGCCCTTCAACCTGCTTCAAAGTTACACTGTGGGATTCTCCTCCTACTTCTCCTCCCCTCCGGTCTATCTATACCACTCTTTTATTGTTTTAACAGCTTTAGATTGGATTTATGGGCTGACAGGTCGGCTATGTGTAGCAGCACAGCTCTAATGTAGCAAAGCTGTTAACTAGTGCATGAAAAGTGTGTGAAGATTAACCCCCGATTAGACACACAAGTGACATAATAAGTCTGAGTGTGCCCTCTTGTGTAGACATGCAGGAACAACACCAATAAAAGATCCATGTAAAACTGTGAAATGCATGTTTTAAAACCCCATGGGATGGCAAATTCATAATTGGCTCTTAATTACGTAATTTGGGTTTAATTTGCTTATAGTAAACACCATATGAGAGCACATCAAATTGCCCTCCCCATTATTGATTTGCAGTAAGGCCAAACTACATGTAAACATTTACAATACACTTCCAAAAGTCTTAAAACTGAGATGGTTTACATCAAAAAAAGAAAGTCAGTTACCATGTTAAACTTTTTTTTAAATGTTATTCTATCCAAAAATATTTAACTGTGATATATTCCTTTGAATGAAAGGCTTTGTCTTGGTATTCTATTGTGATATGTTTAAGCTTGCTAAAGTTGACTTTTTAACAGCCTTTGAAAGAATGATAAAAATAACCTACAGTAAAACACTACTTACAGATATTTTGAATCAGTGTTACTAAATGAGTATTACATATACTAGGCTTAAATCAGGTTATCTTAATATGGTTAAAATTATCCATATTTGTATGGTGGTTATTTCCTTTTACAACATGTGGGGGCTTCTCATTAAGAGAAACCTGCTAGAGAAATATCTAAAAAGCTTTAAATTCCTACTGATACACTGGACGTCTGACAGTATTGGTACAACAAATCTACACCTTCTTGTTATGGTGTGGTGTTGTAACCACTCACTGTAATACAACAAACAACACAACATCACAATGTACTGTATGTAGGCCTATATTTCTTCAAACTCCTCAAACGTCAACAGTTAAAAACAGAAAGGGAATTAGTCTAATACAAAACTTCCATGTGCAAATATTTCTTTATTTTGATAAAGTTGTACTATACTGGACACATGATGTCTCCCACTGAAACTTGAGTATTTCCATTTTATGCTACTTTGTACTACTACTCCACTACAATTCAGAGGTACATCGTGTACTTTTACTCCACTACATTTATTTAATACCTTTACTTTAAAGATTTTGATTAATGATGTGAAATGTACATTTTGAATACAGGACTACTTGTAACAGAGTATTCCTACACTTTGGTAATTCTACTTTTACTCAAGTACAAAATACAAGTACTTCTCCCACCTCAGCTTTTAGTATGTAGCTGATAATACTTCTGCACTTCATGTTATTCTAAAATAATAAAGTCCATGCTGCAGATTGAGTCGTTTTATTTTTGACAATATGTGGGGGTTTCTCTTTTGTCTGAAAATGGTTTGTATCCAACAAAGAAGTTCAACTTTTTTTAAATGCTAATGTAAAAAAAGATTGAACTGTGATATGTTCCTTTAAATTAAAGTATTGTTCATGGTATTCTTTTGTGATCTGTTTAAGCTTGCTAAAGTTGACTATTTAACAGCCTACAATTAAATACAACTTACTGTACAGATATTTTGCATCAGTGCTACTAAACTAACATTACATGTACAAGGCTTAAATCAGGCTATAATGATCTAATGAAGTTATTCCTTACACATAGATTAGTTATTTCCTTTTACAACATGTGGGGGCTTCTCTTTAAGAGAAACCTGCTAGAGAAATATCTAAAAAGCTTTGATTCCTGCTGTTACTATGGACGTCTGACAGTACTGCTACAAAAAATCTACACCCTCTTGTTATGGTGTGATGTTGTAACCACTCACTGTAACACAACAAACAACACAACATCGCAAAATGTACGGTATGTATATCACTTCAAACTCCTACATGTGCAAATACTTCTTGATACAGTTGTACTACTGGACACACAACGTTGCCCACTTAAACACAGAGGTGAGAAGTAACTAAGTACCATTTTGAGGTACTTGTACTTTACTTGAGTATTTCAATGTTATGCTTCTTTGTACTTCTACTCCAGTACAATTCAGAGGTAAACCGTGTACTTTTACTCCATTACATTAGTTTTGTATGTTTAATTACTTTGCAGATTTCTCATTCAAACTAGCTGCACATTTACCAGTTTTGATAACACTTCAATAATTATAAAACATATCCTATATATTATTCTGAAATGGTTCAATCTGCAGAATGTTTACAATTGGTACTTTAAGTATATTTTGATGCTAATACTTGAGTAACATTTTGAATGCAGGACGTCTTACTTTGTAGCAGAGTATTCCTACACTGATACTTCTACTTTTACTTAAGGACAAGATCATGCGAGTACTTTCTTATCCAACTTCTGCTTTTGGCATATATTCAGGTGTTGATATTTTAGATTATTCTAAAATATCGAGCATTATGATGTAGAGTTTTATTTTTGACAACATGTGGGGGCTTCTCTTTACGAGAAACCTGCTAGACAAATATCTAAAGAGCAAAGATTCCTGCCTAACAAATGGTCGCCTGTCAGTACTGGTACATTGAAAACACACCCTTCTGTTATGGTGTCATGTTTCATCCACTCATTGTAACACACAAACAAAAAGAAACAACACACATAATATAAAACATGGAAATATGAAAATGTCCTCTTCAGCTTTCCAACAATTCGCATGTAGATAAGTTACAAAGATATGTTTTACCGCAGTGCAGGCTGGGTACGCAAAACTGAGCCGAAGATCCTCCAATCAGAGAGCGTTAAACCAGGCGGGGGAAATGGGCGGGACTTCCGTTTTCTAAGCCAATCAAACGGTGAATCGTCCCGGATCTTCCCTCTCACCAACTGATCATATTTATTGTATATTTAACACGTTTTTTGTGGATAATAGCGTGAAAATGTTGCTGTTTTTGCTGTTATTGCAATTTAAAAGGTTTATATTACAGATATTACAGCTGAAATCATACTTTTACAACTATATTATATTATTATACTTTTAGCAACATACATAACATACATACATAACATTCATCTGGCTGCTACTTAGAAATTATTTATTTATTTATTTATTTATTTATTTATTTATTTATTTATCTAATATATCATGTTCCAATCACTTGTATAGACTCTTATTGCACTATTTCTTTTGTATAACTATTTACTTGCACTATTTTATCTGTTTTATTGTGTTGCACTGTTGGAGGAGCTGTGACCTAAGATTTTCATCATAACTACACTGTAGCTATGCACCACGTATGACCAATAAAAGCCTTGAACCTTGAACCTTATACTTGTATCAAACTGTTGTCATATTAATTTCCTTCAGTTTAAGTACAATTGTATTATCACATCAATGGATGTTAATGAACAAAAGTCACTTTTTGTCATTATTATGTAGAATCAGTGAGAGGTCAGTGAGAGCACAAAAAACAAAACAATATGTGTCATGTATTCTGCAACAGATTTGTAATTTTAATCAAACTGTGTTCTCATCGAGCTGAAAACAAATGCAGAAAAATAGCTATAACGCTGGTCCAAAAATGCTTAAGGCTGTTGTGCAAGATGTAGTCAGAGCGTTTAAATAAAAGTAGCATTAGGAACTAAATGTAGGAAGGGATCCCTTATATATTTTCTACATATTTCCATATATTATCTAAATAAACAGACTTATATTCAACTGTAGGTAAATTTGCTTTTTACAGGCAGTGGCTCAGTCAGTAGGGGCTTGGACTGTGAGCCATAGGGTCGCCGGTTCAAGTCCCCGACCAGACCAAAAATATGCAGAGTGGACTGCTACTTGGAGAGGTCCCAGTTCACCTCCTGCCCTGCCGTGGTGTTCTTGAGCAAGGCACCGGACACCCCCGTTCCCCACTCACTCCCATTGCTCGGGCGCTGTACAATAGCTGCCCACGGCTCCTAGTACTAGACCGGCCCACCGGGAAAACTCCCGTTATTCCCAATGGCCAGTCTGTGTATTGTGTATATATATATAGAACATGTTTTTGCTTTACAACAATGTGCGGGTCCTATTCAAGCAACATCAATAAGTCCATTAATGAGAAAAGTTTCTCTGCGTTTTAGTTTTCATGTATTTGGGGCGATTTAGAGTTCATTCTTCCATCTGTTGATATGCGGTTTAGCTTTCAAATATTTACACTTGTGAATAAAATGTTTACTCAGGGCCCCGATGTAACAGGTTGATCCTTGTGTGGGGACGTTTTTACGCACAGCACTTGAACGCAGCATGACATATGCTACATTGAATACATCAATGACACCATTATCGTCACCCCTCCTCTATTCCCCTTCCTCAAATGGGAAGACGCGTTTACGGGCGTTCCGTGATAAACCAATGGAGCTGGCTGAGAGGAGGGGTTAACTTTTCCATGTTCATAAATACTCTGAGCCCCTCTCTCACACTCGCTTTTTACTCCAGAGCAGGTTAAACCCCAGTGGGCTTTCAGTACCCTTTAAATCTCCAGCAAACACACAGAAAAACCCGCAATCATGAGCAGGAAATTCTTCGTCGGTGGAAACTGGAAGTTGAATGGAGACAAGAAGAGTCTCGGGGAGCTCATAGACACCATGAACGCAGCCAAGGTGGACCCCAATGTCGGTATGTGTGTTTTAAACAACTATAATGCCAAATTTACCTTTTTATATCCTTAAATGTAGCCACTTGTTTTCTAATTATCACGACTTAAATAACAGTTGTTCATATGCACTGTTTCGCTTCCTCGTTTAATGTCACAAAGGACTGATCCAGACAAAATGGCTCGGTTATTGAATACATCAATGACACCATTATCGTCACCCCTCCTCTATTCCAGGCCCGTATAAAGAGACATTCAGTGTTAACTCTGCATTTCCTGTTTCTTTTTCTTTTCAAACCGAGATTGCACTAAACCACAGACAGGGGGGAAAAGCATGAATAAAGATGACAGATGCTGGCATGGGATTTTCAATAACGTCGGTGTTGGTGGTGGTGGTGGGTGTGCGTTTGCAGCAGCACGTAGTCCAGCGTCTGCTGTGAGAGTGCATGGTGCATTCAAGTGAGTCTGCTCGTTAACGATGCCGCTCCTCTTTCATGTGCAAACTCATTAAATACTGTCGTCTATTGTGAGCTTTAATTGCATGTTATTTGTTGAGGCAGTTCAAACGAGGAGATGAAGGACAGCTAACGCCATAACACAAACAGATGCATGTACTTTTTTTGTTTGATAACGATTTTTCCAGCATGACCTGAAAGCAGCAGCAGCCAGCCATTCGCCCTGTTGCTGTCTGCTTCCTGTAGACTTGCTGCTGCAGCAGTTTTTTTTTTCTTTAGCTACTTCGGTGTAAATGAATGAATGCAGGGAGAGTTTGAATGTGTCCAGGCCTGTTTTCCACTGTCGTTTCCTCCTGTAAAAGTTGCTGTTATGCAACTATCATGTTTTTTGTATTCTAGATAGGTGCAAACTGTCCCTCTGTTTAGACTATCCTTGGACCTTGCCCCATTTAATGAATCCACCCCCTTACAGCAACAGGGTGAAATACAAGCAGAGTTGTCGACCAAAAATCGTTTAAAAAATGTGCTATATAAATAAAACTTGATTTGTCCCACTGGCCTCTCTAGAGCTTTAAAGTTCAGCTGTTTCCTCCACATGGGAGATTTAAACTCTTCTTCTCTGATTTGACCTCTTGTGACCTCTGCAGAATGCGACCTTTAGGAGGCTGAACTCAGACCTTTAATGCAGAGAGGTCTGACCGTGGCCGGGGATTAATGACCTTTACCAACCCAATAGTAACGGGTTTAATTTAGACTCCCTTAACCCCAAGATATAGTTTCATTTTGAATGTCAGTGTCTTTGCTCTGCTGTACTCGGTTTGACCCGTGCAGACCTTTGCTGCTGCTGTTGAATCTTGTTTGCACATAAAGGGCAAACTTTTGGAGTTTGCATGCAGTTTGATATGCATGAGTTTTGGTAGTTTCAACATACAAGTGGTTGTTGAGTAGTTGTAGTAATACACACTGAGATAAGATAAGACTTTATTGATCCACAGGGGGAAATGCATGTGTTGCATCAGCACAAAGAGAAGAAGGAAGTACAGATAAATAGGGAACAATTAAATAATCTTTTGTACAAGTAAAGAATATATACAATAACTGAGTAGGCATGAACTAAAAAAAACAAAGTTACTAGAGTATGTTGACTTTGTGCTGCTGCTACAGTACAAGCAATACTGATGTAAAAAAATACTTTTAACAGCACCTGGAAACACAAATAATTGGATTGTGCCTTTTTAAACATCATGATTGAATAGTGAACTGGATTTGTCCCTTTTTAATCCCCATGGTGTTGAAATACTGTGTGAATGAGTGCATATGAAGTCATGTACTTGGTGGGAGTTCAGGGTGATTGTACAGACTTGTGTTCAAAGCCACATTTTGTCTCGCTGTTTAAGAGTCAATGAAGGGCCTTGAAGCTGAACATGCCTTCTCTCATTCATAGAAATGAATCAAAGAGAAGAAACATGTCAGAATATGTATGAAATGATTGCATTAAACATACAGTGTTAAGTGATATTTGGGCATGGTCTAGATACTGTTATCATACATGCAGTTATATGGTACAATTATTTTAAATGAGCCATCCCCATTTTTAATGACTGCAGTTTCCCTGAATTATTTGGATTGGTTAATATCTTCTAACAGACCAAACATGAATCCCTACTGTCACCTAATCATCTTTGGTCTTTGGTTCAATAAATATCTCAATACCAATATATGTGCTATACAAAAAACAGTTAGTTAATGTTGTCTTCTTCTGCTCACAGAGGTCGTGTGCGGCGCTCCTTCCATCTACCTGGACTTCGTCAGGTCCAAACTGGACGCTAAGTTCGGAGTTGCTGCTCAGAACTGCTACAAAGTCGCCAAGGGAGCCTTCACTGGAGAGATCAGGTACGTCGCGTGTCCATCAGAGTAGAAAAAACAGGGTTTGGTAAATACAAATAAAAAAATTAAAGATTTATTGATGTAGTGAACAAAATAAGCACCAATTGGCAGCTAAACGTGGGTAATATGTAACTGGCTAGTAGGTTTGCTATTGAGTCACTGGTTTGATTGAAACATTTACTAGCCATTTGGCCAAGCAGGATACATTTTCCAACACTTCATTCAGAATCCTCTGGGTCACAAAGTATTTCACATCACTGTTTGAAACCATTTATATTTCTTATCTTGTGTTAACTGTATGAACATGTGTCTCCAGCCCTGTGATGATCAAGGACTGTGGAGTGAACTGGGTGATCCTGGGACACTCTGAGAGACGCCACGTCTTCGGAGAGAGTGATGAGGTAATTCATGATTATTTTATCTTTTTAGTTTGCTGTCATGATGCTGAGTGCTAAAGTAATCCTTTTGTTTCTAATGGCTTCTACTTCACCTCTGTTTTATAATGAGTCTATTTATTTATGCCGTGGTTGTGTACTGATTCTTTTTTATATACTAGCCTTTTTATCTTCACTGTCACTTTCTGTACGAATGTGTATTTCCCTGCTGTGGGTTGAACAAAGGATATCTTTACTTGAGTAGGACACACACCTTTCCTCCGGAGTACACTTTGTGATTACATGCTTGTGTGTGTGTTTTAGCTCATTGGTCAGAAGACCGCCCACGCTCTGGAGAGTGGTCTCAGTGTGATCGCCTGCATCGGTGAGAAGCTGGACGAGAGGGAGGGCGGTATCACCGAGAAGGTCGTCTTCGCTCAGACCAAGGTCATCGCAGGTAAACAATCCCAAATGTAGAGTTTTACAAGCACAGAGAGTCTAAATGATGCATTAGGGAATGTTTATGCAAGCTAGAGACGGGTGGAAACCATAAAACGTGTGGAATAAATGAATCGAAGTCTTATCTTGCATCTTTTTTTCAGACAACGTAAAGGACTGGAGCAAGGTGGTGCTTGCTTATGAGCCCGTGTGGGCCATCGGCACCGGGAAGACCGCCTCCCCACAGCAGGTCAATATAAGTAACCAGTGAAAATGACTACTGTAGTTTATCCCCTTTACTCGTCCTGATGTGTCTGCTTCCTGTTTGATATGTGCAGGCTCAGGAAGTTCACGACAAGCTGAGGGGGTGGCTGAAGGCCAACGTGTCCGAGGCCGTAGCCAGCTCCGTGAGGATCATCTATGGAGGTCAGTCAGTGACAACATGGTGCTTTTTGTGATATTCTAGTTAGTTTTTCAACATTAATCTCTAAATATGACTCTTCAGGCTCTGTGACCGGCGCTACCTGCAAAGAGCTCGCCTCCCAGAAGGACGTTGACGGTTTCCTCGTGGGCGGAGCCTCCCTGAAGCCCGAAATCATCGAAATTATCAACGCAAAGTTATAAAAACCCCGGCAGCTGCAATGTCCAGATCAGAGGCCAGAGTCATCCAGACCATCCAGTTACATCATCCCTCACTCTCTTAGTCCTCTTCCCCTTTTATTCAAAAGTAATGGTGTAATGATGTCATTCCCTCGTTTTTTCCTTTATTCTTTTGCTATATTTTGTCATAAAGAAAAGGGACATGTTGACTTGCACTGTGCTGCACTGAAAAAAAGTGAAATCTACTGAGAAAAGTCTGTGTGCTTACTAACTTCCACCAAGCTGCAAAGACCGACATCGACACCTTGTTTGGACGGCCAGTCCACGCCTTTACTTGAAAAGTTTACCAACTTCCAGTGTCACAGCTCTCTGTCAATCAGATGTATTTGTCTATTTAATATTGATGTCTCTTTTGTTGTGATTATGATGTTCTGTGGCTTCCCCCCCCCCCCCCCCCCCCCCTGTAGACGTGCATGATCCGCTCTCTCTTTGGCTGTTTGCCAAGAGAAGAGCGTCCATTACATGTTAATCCTACTGTGTCATGGCCGATGGGAAGAAGGGTGGCAAGGCTGTAAGGAAACATAATAAACCGTTTAGAGACTGTTTTAAGTGTGTTGTGTCTTGACTTGATAGTGTTTGTCCCATTACTTTCTAAAGACACTTTCATAGTTGTTTATATTTTACTTGTGTACAAAAGGGTTCATAAACAGCTGTGTGTTCATTTCCAGACGATGGAAATCCCAGAGGTGTTCTCAGGATGGCAGGCAGACGATATCTTATTACAGAAATGACCTCCAGTTAAGACAATGCCATGCAGAGAAGCATTTTGTTGCTATTTTTATCCTGGCCCTGGACATGGGGAAGAAATTCTAGCTGCAAAACACAATCTTGCATACAGAAAATAAATATTGATAAATCTGTGAAATAGAGACCTGCTGAGCATTTTGGTCATCATGTATTTCAAGCAATAACACGTGATAAACATTTCAATATGCTATGTACAAGTATATAAAGGCAGGTTGCTCTCTTTGGCTATTTGGTATTTGTTTTGGTTTTACCGCACAGTCGAACCCAAAATATAGCTCGGTATAGCTAATTTATATGAAAGCCCATTTCTGCATAATTCAATTTTAAAGTATATAAGAAACAAGATTAGGCAAGTCATTAGAATAAATAAATGTTCTCAATTAGTAAAAATCATTTAAGCAACATAGCAGTGGCGGCTGATGCATCTTTCTCCTGGGGGGGCTCTACCAAAATGTGAGCAAACGTATACAAAGTAAAAATATCATATTACAAGGCAGGGTTAGCTCAAAGGCACCAGCTCTTAGAACTTGATACAGGGTGTTTCTCAATGTCGAGGACGCTTCCTTGGTAGGACATGTCCCTCCGAGTCAGGTCCTTCAGAAGCGAGGCAAGAATCCTTCCTAGCCTCGGAAAACGAAGAATGGTGGAACAGGCTAGCAGGTGTGCGTCATATGCGAGGCCCCTCCTCAAATGGAGCACGATTTCCGCCAAAGATTTTGGAAATTGATCCGTGCGCAAAGCATTGTGGGTCTGGTCCAAATTAGTTTGCGATACTAAGATACTGCTGTAAGATTAATTGAATACTAAGCCATTATTTTGTCCTAAGTAATTATTCTGTAATACAAAGTCAATATTTTGAAATACTTAGTCACGATTTTGAGATATGAAATCATTATTTAGAGATAGTTTAGATAACTATTCATTGTAGCCTATTTTGTGTTATACTGGCAGGAATTGGCTTCCATAAAATAAATTGTATTTTTCACCAAATGTTTTCATCCGAGAAACCTTGTTTGTATTCAATGGCCCTTTAGTAAATACAACATTTGCAAGACGTATAACATTATATTACTGTTGAATCAACCAATATGTTGTGTTCTTTTGGTCGTAAATCACTCTTTATTGTGTGTTTTCACCCCGGTGCTGCAGGGGGCGCTGGCTCCCCGCAGTGAACCCTTTGAGGGTCTCACTCTCCGTGTTTACAAGCGAAGCGTGACGTTCAGGGACCCGCAACAAAACGTCTCACAGTGCCACTAAAAGCTAATTATTGTAATTAACAAGCGTCCAAAATGCAGTCACTGAGAGTTTTCCTCAGCGAGAGACTGACGGCTGCAGCGGAGGAGATATTTGCAGCTGTGGAAAAGACAATAACCGAGTACAAAGAGGAGATATTTCGTTCAAAAGATCTGGAAATCAGTCGTCTCAGGATGCAGCTGAAGATCCTCATATCAGGTCGGTTGAATGGAACAAAATGTCATGCAGAATTGCGTTATATTTCGGATAAATTGCATGCCTTTGATGCTTTTATGTGTCTTGTATCTAGAGCCTCGGTTGGACCGATGCATTGGAGCCCAGCTGCAGCAGCTCACACATCAACACCTTCCTCCCCCCTCTCCTCCTCCTCCTCCTCCTCCTCCTCAGCATCACTCAGTGTCTGCAGTGGAGCCTCCTGAGCCCTGTGAGGAAGATGAGGAGCATCCAGAGCCCTCCCAGGTGAAGAAGGAGCACCAGATGAAGAGCCACAGAGATTTCTGGCTGGGTCACGACGAAGAGCAGCTGGAAAGCCTTGAATCAGACATTAAAGACTTCATCTCCTCCCCCTCCAGCCTGAAAAGCAGCCTCCAGGACCCCACCTCGCCCTTCCACACTTTCCACAATAATCACAGCGACGAAGGCAGAGAGAAACCCTACCTCTGCTCGGTGTGTGAGAAGCGCTTCAGTAACTGCTCCCACCTCTCAGCTCACATCAGGACACACACCGGAGAGAGGCCGTACAGATGTGAAATCTGCAGAAAGACTTTCATCACCACCAGCGCTCTGAACCGACACCAGACCATTCACACCGAGGGGAAACACTTTGTGTGCAACTACTGTGGCAAATCCTTCAAATGGATGGAGTCTCTGGGCAGGCACATACGAAGCGTGCATAAGAGGGAGAATGTGCCTGTATGACTCTCATTGAAACACACATTTCAGATAGAGTAGTTGTGTTGTTGCTGTGTGTACTGTATTCATAATTTAACACAATGAATGTAAAGTTTTTGTATGTCTTATATGTTAACGTGTGCATGGACCTCATTAAAAGCCTTGTAAGCCTGTGTGCAAATTAATTATAAAAACACTTTAACAAAATAAAGTTAATGTTAATTTATTACTGAAGAATAAAAAGTAAATACTCTTTGTTTCGTGTTGTGTTATGTGTTCTGCTTCCTGCTGCAGGAACATTAGAAAAGGAAGTTGCACAGTACTCCAGTAGATGGCAGTAACTGCATTTCATTCATCATTTTATGTTGATATACAGTATATGGTAGTGTTCAGACTGGTGTCTCGTATGTACTTCGTTTCTGGGAACTGACAGGAAAGTCCTTCTTAAAGTCAATAAATACATAGAGGTCATTCCAAGTGGTGGAGTTAAGCAAGTATTTTAAGGAGAGTGGATGCTGTTATAGCAGTATATCAAAGCCCATGATTTAGGGGTTAGTTGTCAGGAGTCAAAAGTTCTTGTGTCCACAGACTTTTGGCTACTACAGTGTATTTGGTACATGCTATGAACTTGGGATGTTGCTTTGGTTTTGCAGTGAGTTCTCTCCTCAGGGTGAAATTAGACCGGACTTCCCCTGACCCCTCTTTACTTGCTATCATTATAAAACCATTACTGATATCCAGGGGTGAACTTGGAAAGCAGGGAACAGTATGTGTTACAGAGAGCTTAGTTTTGTGTCGTAAATAATAGATACAGGTCTTTAAAATATACAAGTTTGAGTTAGGAAATATTGAGTTTAATGTGTTTTTTGTGGCAAGGTTGAAGGCACCAATACAAACAATATATGAGTCTTTTTAAATCCCCCTTTTCATGTGTCAGCTAGCTTGAAATATTGATAGTAACTGCTAAGTGGCAAGCGTCTGCACTTCATTCATGTCTCGCAATGCTGCAGAGCATCTTGTTGAACTGGAGTATTATTTCATGATACACTCACTTAATATGGAGCGGTTTCTCTGAGGGCTCTCATGTGCGTGCAGGTGCTCTGTGCAGTAAACCTCTTACTACAAGTGTGCTGAGTAGGCAATTAAAAATGATGACATAATATCTCTTAGAAACGGAAAACTGGATTATAATAAAGATGAATAATGTGTATAGGCGCTGCTCCAAAGATTTCCCCGCTGCAGGTTAAATGGAGAAGTTATAACACAACACTTCAGTGGAAATGACCCAATCGTATAGTTTTACAGCCCAGTCTGCATCTTCTGTGCTGTTCGGTAGAAAACACCAGAGATGGGTTTCACACTGGAACTCCAAAAAGAGCAATGTGCTTCCCATTAACCCCGTTATTCCCTGTGGCCAAAGGGCTTCCTCGCTCTTTGTTTACTATAAATGGGTACAAAATGTTTCAGGTATTGGCGAAAACAAAAAGATGTGTTGAAAACAACTTACTATCATTTGAAAAAAGTTTAAAATTGTGCTTTTTTAAAGCATACAAAAAAGGGTTAGGGTTAGGGTCCAGTGTTTTTATCACCTCAAAGTGTAATGCAACTCTTATTTTCCTCAGACACCCAATACCTTTTTCACTAAGTATACTTTTGCTATGGTAGGCCACTGTTTCCTAAGTAATGACACACATAAGAACGATGGGAATATTAGCCTAGCTTTGCCTAACTTCATTTTTACCTCGACGACCAGAGAAGACAAGAATAGCAGGTGGAAATAAAATGGAAATGTATGCAAAATGTGACTATCAACATCAAAAGAAAAAGACACAGTGACTCTACATGGTGGTCAATGTGTAGCCAGGATCCTAGACGTAGTATTTTAAAACCTGTTGCCCAACCCACAGTCCATTTCCTATTTTGTTAATCAAATCATGTTTTTTTTCAGGTGTCATTTGAGTTGACAGTGAAAGCTTTCTATTTCCAGGAATAACCGGACCAGTTTTATTCATGTCGTTGGTTGCTGAGATGTTGAGGATGATCATGTGCTCCCTGAGGTGAAGTGGAGAGGGTCAGAGAGCTCTGGTCTCCAGCAGGTTATCTACGAACACTTGACAAATGCTCAGCAGTGCTTCAAGATGATCCTGCGGGATCTCCCTCTCCAGGCGGGAGTGGAGTGAAGAGCAAGAGGTCAGAAGAGGTTAACTGTACGGGTGAGAGGAGGTGAAGAGGCAACAGACACTTAGAGGTTGAGATGCTCCTACGAGAGATGTTAGGGATGGTGCTCAAGCAGAGGTTTCATTGACAAGAGTGAGTATCTCTCCGTGGCATCGGAAACATGTTCTCCATGTAATTGAATGAAATGAAGAGAGGAGCGCGTTGACGTTCTTGAATGTAGTCAGGGGGGAATCCAGGATTTCTTGAATGAAATGGAGCAGTTGGGACCAAATGCCAGTCAGGAGCGGCCAAAATCAAATAGAAATAAAACAGATAATTAAAGGTCACCTATTATGCAAAATCCACTTGTTCATGTCTCTTCTACATCAACATGTGTCCCCTCTTCTTCATGTCTCTTCTACATCAACATGTGTCCCCTCTTCTTCATGTCTCTTCTACATCAACATGTGTCCCCTCTTCTTCATGTCTCTTCTACATCAACATGTGTCCCCTCTTCTCCATGTCTCTTCTCCATCAACATGTGTCCCCTCTTCTTCATGTCTCTTCTACATCAACATGTGTCCCCTCTTCTTCATGTCTCTTCTTCATCAACATGTGTCCCCTCTTCTTCATGTCTCTTCTACATCACCATGTGTCCCCTCTTCTTCATGTCTCTTCTACATCAACATGTGTCCCCTCTTCTCCATGTCTCTTCTCCATCAACATGTGTCCCCTCTTCTCCATGTCTCTTCTACATCAACATGTGTCCCCTCTTCTTCATGTCTCTTCTTCATCAACATGTGTCCCCTCTTCTTCATGTCTCTTCTACATCACCATGTGTCCCCTCTGTGTAAAGAGACTCTGAAAGTTTCAGGAAAAAAGATTCTCTCTCTTTTTGTCCTGATCCATTTCTATAAAAACCTGTCTGAAAATGAGCTGATCAGATTTTAGCCACTTTGTGATGTCATAACGATGTTTTGGCTTGTGTAACCATTAGCCAATCACCAACCAAGGTAACCCCCCCCCCCTTATCACCTGAATCTCCTCCTAGAGCACCATTGAGTTCTTTTTAACCAAATATCTCTCAGAGGGGCGTGGGGAGGGGCTCCTTATTTTCATCTAAAGTAACAGACAGAGAATCAGCCCTTTTGAAACAGGGCTGAAACAGAGGGGATTATGGGATGCTGCAATGATCTGTTTGGTGTTTGGAGCCAAACACTTCAGAGACATGTTTTGGATATATCTGAGACCTATAATATATTGATGAAAAACAGTATAATAGGGGACCTTTAACTTAAAATAGCACAGCCGCTGAGGCACTAGTTAGCGGATCTTACGCAGGGCAATGATCCAGGTACAGACAAGAATCTCCGTTTGTGCATTTATTATATATTCCAATAACAAAGAACAATCAACAGGTTTCCAATATGTCCTTCCTTAAGCCTTTCATATGGCTCTCTTTCTTCTGGCTTGAAACACCCTGGTAAAAAACCATGTGCCTACTAGTGCTCTACTCCAATATATACATTTACACCAGGTGCTCCAATCACCCCGTGCCCAAACATGCATTCAAAATAAAAGCATAGAAACTACTTAACAATAACTAAGAATACATTTACTATAAACAATAACAGTAGGAAAATAAATGTTTAACTATTAAATCATATGAAGTGATATATAGAGCTCCAACAGGGCCCTTTATTCCATGCAAGGAACCCCATGCATCCATTTAGACTCGCCCCTCTTCCACGTAGCATGAACGCACCGAGAGAAGCAGAGTAGCAGTCAGAAGTCAGACAAAGGGACAGGAGACAGCTGCTGTAAAAAGGTCATTGGGGGTCATCGTATAAACTTTATGAAGTATGACAGCTGCTGCAGGAGACAAAAGATGGTTGTGGAGTATATGCTGTATAGAAAACGCAGCAAAGTGTGTTAAAACTGTCCCTCCCGGCCGGGGATAGAGAGCGTGATTACAAAGTGAAAGGATGTTTCTCTAATCATATGGACCAATACTCTGTGTATCCTTTATTGTTCTCCCATGTCTTGTCAATGTGAACTTGCTGTATTCCTGCTACTTGTGATGTGAGTTATTTATTTGACTATTTTTATTGTATTTATGATTTTATTATAATTATTTATCTGTGACCATGACCTAATGGGGTAGGGGATGGGTATTTGTCTTTCCTTTTACAGACAAATTGTTCTCTACTTTGCTTAAAGGTCACCTATCATGCTATTTTTAGGCAACAGCATAGGTCTCAGATGTATACAAATATATAGAAAACATGTCTATAAAGTGTTTTGCTCAAAATACCAAACAGATCACACATTCTAGCCATGCCTCATATCCCTCTATTTCACTTCCTGTTTCAAAAGTGCTGATTTTGGGGTATAAAGCTTTACAAAAATAAGAAATTTAACTTTAACTTATTTTTTAACAGGTTAACAACTTGGTTATTTGCGTGTTAAATCAACGGGGTTTATATTATTTGGGGAACATTTGAGAGTTCATTAGGCGTGCATGACCTCTTCTTCACTTGTAATTGAGCAATACAAACTCTTATAAACTGTACTGCTTCTAATTACATAAGAGTGTGTGACTTTAATCATCATAACATAACAAAAGGGGTCTTGATTTGTGGATTTGTTTGTTTAATCCTCACAAATTGGTATCACATGTAGAGTCATTTCATAAACCACGGGGATGCATTCAGAAGAGATTTAACGTTCACCTGACACTGTGCATTATCCTATTGCACTAAACCATAAACATGTGGAACTAAAAGTAGGCCAATATGAAAGAATACGAATTATTTTCAAATATTTGTCCTAGATTTGAACAAACGCTGCTAATAATAACATTTATTTTACATGCAAAATGGCAAAAAAAAGCTGTCGTGATAATTCTAGGTCTATATAAAATGTCTTTCTTTCATCCACACCTTTCCCAGCATCCTTACCCTGAGAGAGGAAGTGCTGAGAATATCCGCAGATGTGATGTCACCAGAGGAGAAAATCAGATTTGTCCTGCAGGATACTTTACATTATGTTGACACACTTATTCAAGGTGACTTTTAATGACACACGACCCACATACCAACTCACAAGCCTGCCCTATACTATATATTTATATATATATATATCCAATATCATCCTCCTGACTGCGATGGCTCTCACTGATAAGGCTATTCATCAATGTCACATCAGTATGAGGAGCTTTTATTGCATAAAACGGTAAAGGGATGTAGATTTTAGCATCTAGAAAACCATTTAAAACCATTTAAATGGACAGAAAGCATCATGAGCAGACTCTGGAGTAAGGGATTACATATTCAGGATACAAAAGAAGGTAACTGTATTCCCTTGTTTTCCACAGTTACATAAAAACAGATGTTATTAGATTACTGGTACATTAAAAAAAAGGGAATACTAGCAGGATTACAAACACATTTTAAAGTAAAAAATCATATATATTATAGGTAGAGGTACTGCCTGAACTTTCTTTTTGGTTTTCATTTAGGCTACTTTCATTCGTCATTATTTTAAAGAGGCCCTATTATGCTTTTTAGGGGTTTCCCTTTCTTGTATTGTATTATAGGTTTTATAGGTATGTCTCCCACACACTCCCCCCCCCCCCCCCACCTGAAACCTCCATTGGACTCCTTTGTTTAACTTCGTAACATCACGATGTAACACTTGCGCTTCTATTGGCTAGCTCTCCTACACATTGTACGTGATAGGCTAAGGGGGCGGGACATCTCTACGCGGTTGTCCAATCACAACAGAGCCGGCCAGCTAACCAATCAGAGCAGACTGGGCTCTGGTTTCAGACAGAGGGTGAAAAGAGGTGCTGCAGCACAGGCAGTATGAGAAAAAAAAGAGCTTTTTGAACATTAAAGCATGGAGACATGTCCCAGGCACAATATACAAATATGATAATGAGAATTATAGGACCCCTCTAAGAGGACACATTCTTCTTTTCTAAGGTAACATTGATTTTTTTTTTTTTTACATACAACACTTGTGTAAAACCCATCTTATTGATATTTATATTCTCTTGTATTTATCTGCATTGCATCCAAAAATAAGGGAAAGTAATCAGGTTACATTACTTTTATATCGTGATACTCAGGTTAGGTTACAGATTACATTTTCTTACACGTACCTAGTAACTGTAACAGGATACATTCTTAAAGTCACCCTCCCCACCCTGACCATGATGACACAAATCATATTGTGAAGTTTGTTTACACAGATCTGCCAGCAGTGATTCTGTGTTTCAGCACGAAGGCCGTCTCCAGTGATCCGTGTCCGTTTGAAGGAGAGTCCTGCAGCCGGACACGGTGAGAACACCGCCCTGAGCCTCCAGCACTAAATCACATCTCAGCTTCTCCTTTTCATTTCTCTCCCTCTTTCTCTCCCTTTTCAATTTTTTTTTTTACTGTGCAGTAAGGAATGCTCTCTACAGGGTGGCTGGTGTTCACTGGAGCGCCTCAACTCCCATGTCTCACACTCATCCCATGTGTCTCCTATTAGCTACACACAACCAAGAGAGGGAGGGACGCAGAGAAAGAGGGGGGAGTCAGAAAGAGAGAGAGAGGGAGAGTAAGGGGGGAGGGGGAGACGAGAGGAATTTGATATGCTTTGTGCATGAGTGACTTGTATAAAACAAAGACGGGGCAAATTGTCTGAATGTATGTGAGAGAAAAAAGGGGGGAGAAAACAGTGCACGCATGAATACGCAAGAGACTAGCAAAAAAAGATTATAATTTATTTCCAGATTTGTTTGCCTTCATTTGCATCTTGTTTCACAAGGTAAATCGAAAATAAAAAATAAAAATAAAAACCGACTGCCGTACCATGAAAATGTAAAAAAATAATACAAATAATATGTACTGTATATATAATTATATCATTATCAACAAACAGACGACATTAATCATAATAACAATACTATTGATCATTAACGTAACACTAAATTGCTGGTCTCATGCATATAGGACGCCCCTCAGGTACAAAGGAGGGGGTAATTACTAAAAATAGAAACAAAAAGTCCCACCAGTTCGGAATAAAGCGCCTAGCTACATGCAATGACATAAAAGAGACTCATGTACACATTCCTTCTGGCATCAAGTATTTTACACATACTGTACTGCACTATTGCCGCCCCCATCTAATATACTGTACAGAGCACGATACAAAACAGGACGGGAGTTGGAGGAACGTTTGCAGGGGAGCGCTGGAGTCGTCGTGGTGCAGCAGGGACGTGTGCCACGCTTTAGTGAAACCCTTTCAATTCCTCCTCAGTCCATTAGTCCAGCTTTTTCTTTGTTCCTTCATTGTTTTCAGTGCACACATTCTCCCTCGTGTTTCTCCATGCTGCTCTCCGTCGTGCCCCTCCCTCACAGGGTCTTGTCACTCTCTTTCTTCAGGTGACTGAAAGGTCAAAGGGGAAACCGTGTTAAGAGTGTAGGGTAACGTTAAAGGTCACAGCTGAGGTTCGGTTTCATCTCATTTGGGGAGCTTTAACTGCTAAAGTAACAGCTGTTTTAAGATATATTGTTAAAGATTTATTTGACTGGATTCAAATATGTACAGAGGGCGCATACATTTTTCCTCTTAAGGGTAGGGAACCCCCCCCCCCCCCTCTGTGCCACAGAGCCAAGCCGACTTTTACAGCTGAGATGCATCAACATTTTGTCAGCTTTCCAACTACTTTTTTCTTTGGTAGGCCGGCCAATTGAAACAAACTCAACGCCAGTTTGTGCTCAGGCCCAAAGCTGCCAAATGTCAGGATGACTAACCTTGGGCTTACATCTAAAAAACAACAATAGGAGTGTTTTTATTTGTAGGCTCTGCCACCTATTAAGGCTTGTTTAAAAATGATCAAAACGTATAAACAAGAAATGTAGATTTCTGCTACCTTAAGAATTGGATCTTGTGTCAAATTCAGGCCATTTTGTTGATTTCCAGGTCTGGTTTGTAGTTTAAGGACATTTCTCTTCTATCAATGCAAATCATTTGCTTTAAAGGTGGGGTAGGTAATTTCGGAGAAACCGGCTCGAGATCGCTAGAATTTGACAATACACAACCGGAGAAAATCTGCCACTTCCTTACAGAGCCCCTCCTCCAACACACACGAACGCGCACATGACCAATGAGGGCACGAGATAAGTTTGTGCACAGATGGAAGGCTGACAGGCAGGTAGGCCATCCAGTTATTTTAGCCGGGCCGGCTCAATGATTGGTCGTGCTTTTTACAGTATTACGGCTTCCACAGATGACATTTTTTTATGGATTTTTTGTCAAAGCACTTCAGATATTCATTGCTATCGGGATGTTAAGAGCATTCCATGGAATATAACAAGAAGTGTATCTCGATCCGGTTTCTCAAACTTACCTAACCCACCTTTAAGTACATTCATATTAATTATAATAAATAAAATGTAATAAAATGTAATAAAATGTATATAAAATGAATAAATGAGAATCGTATCTGTGTTGTTGATTTGTTTGTCCTTCTCGGTCCATGCACGACGCATTTCAGTGGTTTTGTGTTAGAAAAGAAAGCAACCAATCAGATCTTGTTCTGGGTCTCTGGGTAGAATGTAGAATATCCTTCAACCAAGGTATTCTACATCCTTGATAGAATACCCTGGCCGTTGCACTGAATGAGAGCGTACATTTGGACTGACAGTTTGATCAACCAATCATATATTGATTTGTAGCCAATGGGCGTATTCTTTCAGAGTTTCCCTCGGTTCCAGGGTATTCTAGAAGGCCCGCTAGTGCACTGGCTCGAGACAGAGGATCTAGATGAATGCGACGAAGCAATTCATGCAGTTTTATTGTTTTTAACGTTGAAATGGCAAGTGCAACAGAATTGTTGTGAGTACCCTTTTCAAGACGACAATTCAGTGAAAAGACGGACATTAGAACGCCCGGGGGGGGGGGGGGGGGGGTGTCTACAGAAGGTCCAGTTGTGATTGTGACTGGGAAACACACATTTAATCTCTGCTGCATTTACCAAGGCCATTATCGACACACACTCACACTACATTACATGAGTTAGATAGATAGATAGATAGATAGATAGATAGATAGATAGATAGATAGATAGATAGATAGCATTTACATTTATAAAAGGCCTTACCTGTAATACTCGTCCTGGGTGAGGGAGTGGTGGTGATGGTGGTGGATCCACTGCTGTTCGAGGGCCAGTCTCTGGATCTGCAGCTCCGCGCTCTGGGCCTGCTGCATGGCCTGGAGCTGATGGGCTGCCGACATGGGACCAGTGAGGGAGGACGGCTGGGGCAGGTCACGGAAAGGAGCACCTGGGGGGGGGGAACGAAAAACGAAAGAAGGAAGCAGAAAGAGGAGGTGGGGATAAAAGAGGAAATAAAGGAAGCAAAAAGGTCACCAAGGTCAATCATCTTCATCAGATTCACAAAATCTCTTTTTTAAAGTTTTAGCACTGTTGGAGTTTTTTAGAGAGAAAAACTGAACAAGTACATGGACGAGGAGCCTTCTCCTCACCGAACAGCTGTTGGCGGAGCACCTCGCTGTCAGTGAGGGGGTGAGCCAGGATGGGGGTGCCTAGTGTGGCTCCTGGGTAAGGGAGGCGTGTCAAAGGAGACCCCGACGCCAGCGGGTCCATCAGGGGGTGTACCCCGCCCGTCGCTGGATGCCAGTGATGTAATAGGAAATACAGGAGATATTTAATGAAAGTCAAATTATGAATATCAAAACAAAGATAATGCACACAGCATGGAAATACATTATTTCTGCTTTTGAGATATTTCTTGGTAAAACATGAGCAGAGAAATCTAGATGCAACTGTAAGGCAGTTAACATGATGGCTTCTGCTATTGCGAATATTAATATCCATCCATGAACTGTAAGTGCTAATCTTTAAGAGGTTTCTCGGGGGCTGGACATTGGGCGAGAGGCGGGGTACACCCTGGACAGATTGCAAGGAAAACACACGCAAGGGGTGCGTTCCATTTGTACAAGGAAGTCGGAAATTGAAATGACGTCAAAACCGGTTATAGCCAGGTTAGCTTTGTTAGCCTTTGTTAGCTATAACAGGTGATATTGTTCAGGCTGTAATTTAGGCACGCAAACAACATAGCAACATGTCCTCAGAGAGAAGATAGATAGTACTGTGTGCACTGCAGGCCTTGATTTAATGCTAATAAGCAGTTTATTACTACAGCTTTCACGCTGCTGAGGCGAGGAGAAGCCATGTTGGATTTTGAGATTGGAGTTGGTAAGGTTTTCCCAACTTCAGGGGGCTTGCCAGTTGAAATCTCCGACGACAAATGGAATGAACCAACCATTCAAGCTTTCATTCACACTAACAGGCAATTAAGAATCACTAATTCACCCAATTAACCAGAGAAAACTCATGCTGAAATGGGGAGAACATGCACACGACACACAGAAGGCCCCCCCCCCCGCTGTGAGAAACCATGCAATCCCCTGAATCACAGTGACATCCCAAACTGTAATATGCACATTTTGACTTTCAACATGAATTGTTCCAAAAGACAAAAGGCTTGTCTTGCTTGTCTTACATTGTCTGCTGATTGGTGTTACTGTGAGTGAACTACTTTGAACTCTAAAACGTTGAACAAATTAGTCAGATGTCTCAGGGAAAGCTATGACCCCGATATCACTCAAAATCAAACACAACCTGAGTTCAATGGTGAACTACACTAATGCGACAGGTATTTTTATAAACGTTTAAAGGATAACGCTGGCTTTGTTCACAGTCAGTGTGTTAATCTGTCTCTTAAGCCTTCTCTTCGGAAAACACACTTAGGTCTATATTGTAGATGAATACTGAAGTTTAAAATCTTTAAAACTGGCTCATAGATAAATATTTTTTTAAGGCCCAGTAATCGTCGTCTTTTGGGATTATTTTTAAGCCTACAAATTAAGTCACATTTGCACATTGCAGCATGGCGTTCTAAGAAACTACAGTTCCCAAAACTAGTCTTGGATTTGTTTGTTTTTGTGGACAATCATTGATGTCTTCTGTGTTCAATTATCACAAGTCTTACCCTCGACTTTTTAAGTACGCAAATCTTGCACATGCAACCTTTAGAAACACATTTGTTCCTAAATGTTTTTTTCTAGTAACACGTCTACGTGATTTCAAGGCAGTAACACGGATAATTAGAGCATCAGTAGCAGAAGGGTTAGTACCTGTGTCTTGCTGGTGCAGGTGCAGATGTGAGTGGATGTGTGAATGCTGGTGATGATGAGGCGTCACGTTTAACATCTGAAGACGCCCCAGATTCTCTCCGTTCCCATTTCCGTTTCCACCGGTTCCTCCTCCATTCCCCCCTGTTCCTCCTCCTCCTCCTCCTCCTCCTCCTCCTCCTCCGTTTCCACCACTTCCTCCCCTTTCTCTCTCCCTTTCTCTTTCTCGCTCTCTGTCCCCAAAGGCCGGCAAAGCTGCTCTGTCTCTCTCCCTCTCCCTCTCTCTCTCCCTCTCCCTTTCTCCACTCCTGTCTCGCTCAAAGGAGGCGGGAGAGCGAGTGGGAGTCGGGTAGTTTTCGGGGGGAGCGGCCGGAGCAGTGGCTGGTGGCAGGTGAGAGGACAGGGAGCTGGGAAAAGACGAATGGGGGAGTGGGTGATGAAGTGAGGAGGCGTTGGTGGTCGGTGGAGCAGGTGCGGGAGGAGCGGGCGGGGGAGCAGGAGGTGCTGCTGGGGCCGGGGGGGGCAGCGCCGGGGGGGCAGATGATGGGTGAGAGGGTAGGGAAGGTGTGAGGATCGATGACGGGGGTGGATTGGGCAGGGACTGAGGGGCAGGAGGGTTGGGAGGTCGAGTTAATGGCGGCATGGACGGGTTCTGGAGGTGCTGGGGAGGAGGCTGAGGCTGAGGAGAGGGAGTGCCGTAAAGCGACACCTCATTGGCTGCACCTCCCCCGAGTAGCAGGGAGTGTGCATGAGCATGTGCGTGGGCATTGGCGTGTGCGTGTGCATGAGCGTGAGCGTGAGAGTGAGAGTGAGCGTGAGCGTGAGCGAGGGCCAGGTGATCGTGAATGGATCCTGGAGGGTAACCCCGCTCGTCGCTCTTGAATTCAAACCCTTGCTTCATTCGCTCTCGATGTGCGGCGATTGCGTGAGGAAAGCCGACTCCTCCGAACCCGGCGCCCCCCATCCCTCCGTGTATCGGCCCGCCTGCCATCCCTACGTGGCCCCCGACGCCCGGACCCCCTTCGAGGCTGCCGCCGTACAGGAAGCCCAGGATGGCTGCAGCAGTGGCGGCGTCGGTAGGCATGTGATGCGGGTGTCCTAGAGCGTGATTCTGAAACTGGGGGAGGAAGAACGAGGGGTGGACGTGGGGATGGCTGTGGCCGTGCATCTGTGCGTGGTGCGCCTGGGCCCGATTCGCTGCGCTGAGGGGCGACATAGCGTGAGGGCGGGCGTACTCGCTCAGGGTCCTCAGCGCCGGGGTGTCCGGGCCCAGATAAGGACCTCCCATACCTATTCCCAGGGATCCCTGAGGGCCGACCACCGTCTGCGCCCCGCCCATGGACGGCATGAGGAGGGAGTGAGGGATCGAGTGGGGCGAGGCTGTGGGTGGAGATGGTGTGCTTGAGCCAGGTGAGCATGGGGGTGTGAGGGGATGATGCTGCTGGTGAGGGGGAGGGTGGGAGACGGAGTTGCCGGAGGAAGAGGACAAAGGGTCGAGGTTGATGGAAGAAGAGGAGGGGAAGAAGAGGGAGGAGCCTTGGCGACTTCCTGCAGCGGCGTTCACGTCTTTCTGCTGCTGCAGAGACAAACAGGGAAACACAGTAAGTCACATCTGCTTTACTCCCCTTCCTAAAAGGACCAATGTAATCTACATCAGGGGCGTCAAACATACGGTCAAAACCAGCCTGTCAGAGAGTATAACTTTTGTCCCCACTTTTGTTTGTATGGTGGTGTGTGTCAGTTCAAGTGGTCAGGATTACTACCCAGATATGAAGATTAATGTAAATGACATCGTACATAAAGTACAATACTATATTGTTCAGTTCCAGTTCTGAGTTTGACACCCCTTATCTACATCAATACCATTAAATCTGACATGCAACATAATTATCACGCTCTAATGTGCTCACCTGCAGTTGTCGGTCCAGTTCCCTTTCACGCTCTCGTTCCCTCTCTCGTTCCCTCTCTTTCTCTCGGATGTCTCTCGCCCGCTGCTCCACCTCCCTACGAGCTCTTTCTATCACCTCGTTCCTCTTCTTCCACAGTTTGGAGCCGTCCAACGGGACGAAGAGGACATCACTGCGAGCGCAGGAGTTCCCACTGCCACGATCAAGGACTTTGTGAAACCTGGAACACAGAGTCGTAAATCATCTCAACAATCACCAAAGGTTCAGAGGTGGGAGAAGTACCCACATCTTGTACTTGAGTAAAAGTAGAAGTACTAGAGTGTAGGAACACTCTGTTACAAATACAAGTCCGGCATTCAACATTTTACTCAAGTAAAAGTATGAGCATCGAAATATACTTAAAGTACCAAAAGTAAAAGTAGTCATTGTGCAGATTGGTCCATTTCAGAATAATATATATGATATGTTTTATAAGGATTGATGCATCAAAGCTGGTAAAGGTGGAGCTAGTTTAAATTCACATTATTATTCCAAATCTGGAAAGTAACTAAAGGTATCAAATAAATGTAGTGAAGTCAAAGTACACCATTTACCTCTGAATTTTAGTGGAGTAGAAGTACAAAGTAGCAACACATTGAAATACTCAAGACAAGTCCCTCAAAATTGTACTTAAGTACAGTACTTGAGTAAATGTACTTAGTTACTTTACACCAATGCATCTGATCACATTAAGAGGGACTGATACATTGGGCGATCTCTAATAGGACGATAATGTGATTGACTTACCGTGCTGATTGGCTGGCGTGGATGGGAATGTCCACTGGTTTGGGTTCAGGCGAGGGGCTTCTCAACACAGGTGGTGGGCTTTCACTCTCCTCCCTTTCTTCTATTGGTTCCTCTTTGATAACAGGTGTAGGGGGAGGGCCCGGATCCAAATGTCCGTCTCCCCCGGGGGCTGAAGAGCTGGATGCCGGTGCGGAGATGCTGTTGTTGGCTGCTTGGTTACTAAGAGGTGGAGGTCCCTTGGAGACATTTGAAGGCGAGAGTGATTGCGAGTTGGTATTGCTGCTATTGGACGCGCTACTATTGCTGTTGGCCATGTTTCCACCACCACTGTTCCCATTGGAGTGGTACGTTCCAGTGAAGGGAGGGTGGCTGTTCAAAGTGCCATGGAAGGGGGAGGGGCGGCATCCGGGGGAACAGCTGGACGACACACCTGGACCAGGAAGTGGCATGTTGGGTCCAGATGAGGAGCCGGGGGGAAACGAAGAGAAGCCGCCCATTGGATTAGTGGACGGGCTTGGTAACGGAGATAAGGGTGTTGGAGGAGTCTGAGCGGTGGACTGGTAGTGTGGGGGACGTACATTGGGTGCAGAGGGTGGCTGGGTGTGGGTGGTTTGAGGTGGGGGTATAGGAGGCTGAGTTGGGGGAGGGGGGTAAGGAGCATTGGGAGGGTGTCCATGATGACTGGAGGAGGAGGACGGAGAAAGTGCCGGAGGCTGATTCGGACCTCCTCCTCGGTTTTGGTACAAAGCAGACTCTCGCAGGTTTGAGTCTCTTTCTCTGGACTGGTAGTGGGGGTGAGGTGGGTGAGGGTGATGAGTTCCCCCTGAATACTCTCGTCCCAGGTTTGGAGTCACCCTGGGGGGGCTGAGGTACTCTCGATTTGTGCCGGTGGAAGGAGGCGCCCCAGCAGGAAAGTCTTTTCCTCCAGTGGGTGGATAATCTCTGTGAAAGTGGTCCGATCCAGAGGAAGGGGTTTGTGCCTGCTCCATGGGAGGGGGGAAGTCTCGGCTGGATGAGTTTGGGGGATGAGGGTGGGGGTGTGGGGGGCAGGGAGGAGTGTGGAGGGTGAGTCGGGGTGTTTTGGGGTGATGCAGGTGGGTCTCGGTTCAGCATTGGCGCGGCAGGGAGTCCGCTGGTTGAACTCGGCAGGTTTCCAGACGGGATGGAGTTGTTGTTTGGGTTACTGTTGCCTACAGCCTCTCTTGTCGGACCCCCAAACTCCCCCCATCTGCCTCCATCTTTGTCTCTCGGATGCCCCCCGCCAGTCCCGTTGGGGCCGAAGTCTCTACTCTGGTTTTGGTTTGGCGGAGGAAACTCCCTCCCTCCGTCCCGTTCCCTCTCTCGCTCCCGGTCTCTGAAAGCTGGACCAAAGTCTCTCCTTTCAGAACCCAAGTTAGGTCCGTCTCTCCCAGGACCAGTAAACTCCCGGTTCTGACCAGTAAACTCTCTACTTTGGACGCTGTTGGACCCACTATTACTCCCACTATTACTCCCAGTGCTATTGTTGCTGCTGTTACCAATGGGGGCGGAGAACTCTCTGCCGATCTCCCTCCCCCCGCACTCCCCCCTCCCTCCCCTCTCCCTCTCTCCTGCAGCCGCCCCCCTCTCTCTGTCCCCTCCCCCTCCGGCGTACCTGGGAAGGTACTCCCTGTGGGGGTGGGCTTGAGGATGGGGGAGGAAAGAGGAGTGGCGGGTGGACGGCGGGTTGTAGACGGAGGGAAGCTGCTGCTGCTGCACCGGCGGCTGGTGCTGTGGGTGGTGGTTTCCCGGGTAACGGGTGTAGCCCCAGCTCCCTTGGCAACCGGTCGCGGTGCCACCCTGCCAGCCGGTGGGGGTGTAGGGGTGAGGATGGGAGGAGGGCTGGGTCTGAGGCAACAGAGAGGGAGGAGTGGACTGAGTCTTGTCCAGGAGTTTGTCCGGCTTTTCTATTTTGTCTCTTTCTATCTTTACCTCAGTGGGAAGGTTTTGTCCCCCGAGCTCCAGGGGCTTCAGGGCAGGTGGAGGAGGGAGAGGAGGGGGAGGCAAAGAGTGGGGAATGTTGGGGGTGTTGTGGGAGAAATCTCCTCCCGGTATGGCCGTCTTGGTCCCACACTGCGAGCCGGCTTTGGAGTTCATTCTGCCGCCTTCAACGCCCGTCGGACCACCGTGCTCCACTTTACACATTAGTTTGGAGTCCATAGAGAAATAAGACTTCCTCCCACTATTGCTGTCATTTGAAGAATCTCCCACTCCACGGTGGGAGGGAGTCACAGGAGTGGAGGGAGGCTTAAGAGATGGACAGTCTTCGATTCGTGTATCCATCTCCCGCTTTTCTCCATCTCCGCAGGACTCCTCCCCTCTCGCCTCTCGAAGCGCCCTCCTATCCTCTCCCGACACCTTCCCTCCCTCCTTGCCTTTCTCCCGTTCCCTCTCTCCTTGCTTCGGTGAGTCTGGGCCATCGGAGTCAGAGTCCAGGCTGCCCAGAGGGGAAGCAGAGAGGCTTGGGGACGAGGAACGATTGTCCTGGTCTATATCCCGCCCACTGCTCAGGCTACTGCTGCTATTGGCCAGGCTCCCCACCACTGAACTCCTACTGCCCTGGGATTGGCCGTCTTCATTGTCACTCTCACGGGATTGGCTGGCCACCGAGGTTGGAGGCGGGACAGTGGAAGGAGCCGAGCTGTCAATCGTGTGTGTTGATGTTGGAGGGTTCGGGGTAGAGACCGAATCCTGACGAAAAAAAGATCATTTGTGAATGAGGTAAAGAAAAAAGACTCTTAACAGCTTAGACGGTGCCTTTTTTGATATATTAGCTGAATCAAAGCTTTATAATTGTTCTTTATATAACAGGTTGATGAAATGTAAGACAAACCTGAACTTTCTGCCTCTTTGGAGGAGACACAAGTTCCTCCCCCTCACTCTCTGATGAATCATGCCCTTGTGATCTGCGACTGAAGCGATTTCCAGCCAATTCCTCACCAGCACCTCTTTGCTAAAACAACACAGGACTTTTAATTCAGTAGTGATGCTTTTGAATCCCTAATAAGCCTATGACTGTTTTTAGAACAAAGCCACACTTGCACATATACACACACACACACAAACACACACACAGCATCAATGTCAAACAGGAAACATCAAAGATCTCAAAGCGATGCTATGTTGTAAAACACACTATTGAACAATCCTGACACTGCAAGGGTATGTCGGTGGCAATCTTACTGATGACTCATTCACACACACACACACACACACACACACACACACACACACACACACACACACACACACACACACACACACACACACACACACACACACACACACACACACACACACACACACACACACACACACACACACACAGCACACACACACACACACACACACACACACACACACACATCACACACACACCACACACACACACACACACACACACACACACACACACACACACACACACACACACACACACACACACACACACACACACACACACACACACACACACACACACACACACACACACACACACACACACACACACACACACACACACACACACACACACACACACACACACACACACACACACACACACACACACACACACACACACACACAATTCAATACATAGTGACAGTTCTTTATTGCTCATGACTCCTGCACTTGCATGCACAATATCCAATAATATCCTACTTGTACATTGTGTTAGCTGTAATCTGGCCCTTCACAGTGTTTCTTTGACAGATAGTCTACAGATTTTTATCTTCTGACGGTCCACTTTTATATATTTTAACCTTTTTATTTTCTATTTTGAGATGTTTTACATTTTGCGTTTGCTTATCTTCTACTCACAGTATGTGCAATGCCTTGTCTTAACATGCTGCTGTGACAAAAATCCCAATTTGGGATCGATAAAATATATCTTATCTTATCATAATATATAAACGTAAAAGACAATTGCTCTGACCGTCTGTCTATCGTTGCGTTCAGGGCGAGTGGGGCTGGTGTGCGGACGTCTTCCCCGTCGTTCCTCACTCGCCCCCCGCCGGCGCCCACTGCGCATCGGCATCTGAAAAACCCCAAAAAGTCCAGCAAAGGAGGAAGAAATGGACGAAAAGGGAAAGCATATAATGTCAGAATCAGAATCAAGGTACACATACAAGGAATTTGCTTTGGTGTATTATTGTGCAAACATATCCAACATAAACTAATACATTTTAAGAGAAGGTTAACATGATATGTTAACCTTCTCTTACAACTTATTAGGTTATGTGGTTTGATTAACATCAAAAATATGTTTTAAAAGAAAATATATTATATATAAAAAATAATAAAGACAAGTATTTACACCAAATTTAAATATACAAAAAAAACTGAGTACAATGAATATATGACAATACAGTATATGACAAACTGCAGTGTGTTATATTTCAAAGTGAAGGGCTGTGCAGAAATGTGCAAAATTATATTCAGAGAGATGAACATGTTGAGTTACAATAATTAGGGTTAGGGTTATAGATAGAATGAAACAATGGGATGTGTTGATTGTAGTGGAAATAGAGTCGATAAAAGCCAAAGAAAGTCGAGTTTGTTCAATTCAAGGTGGAATGGAGAAAGGGTAAACAGGCAACAACAAGAGAAGAATAAAAATGTGAGGGAGGTGGAAAGAAGAACAGGCCATAATAGAGAGAAGGCCACGGAGGCGAGGGGAGAAATTGTAAGCAGAGGAAATATAAACGTGGAATCATACAACCAAATAAATAATTTACATCTTAGTCATCCTTTGAAAATACGATTACATGTTGAACTAATTCTAATGTAGCCTCACTCCCAAATGTAGAGCATTCGGCAGGTACACAATCCTTGCCCTCATTGTGAAAAATATAGGTTCATACCGATTCTTTGTGTGTCCGTGTTTTCATTATGTCTTCTTTAAAACATCCATTTTACAACACAAGCCATTGCAGGGGCTGAACGGCTTCCTGTTGCTTACTGACTGGGCTGTGTGTGTTACAGCTAGCAAGACCTGCAAACAAGCATAAACAAAGAAGGCATTATTCAGTATTTATCTGCATGCAAACCCTGCAGAGAATGAAAGGTTCTGCATAGGTAAAGATACACAATATTTCTGCTTTCTGCAGCAAGTGTGGAGTACAATAATGTGTGACATTATGAAAACATCTGTGTTATAAAACTGCAAATGCACTGTTGCAACATTTAAATACCCAGCATGCTTCACACTATATTGGCATGACTCGTTTTCACTCACGTTCCTCTTTGCTTTCTCTCTTCACCATAGCAGCAAAGGCACAATAGGTTAAAACACTCACACTAATGCACTGGTCTGGTTATTGTATAATTCGGTGCAATAACACCGAAACAGATAATAAGAGCAGAGCAGAAAGGTTCTGATTGGTTGGCTGCATTTTGGATAGCGGCCTGCAGAAGACTCCAGCAAACATGTTGAGAATATGGGACCACACCCCCCTCCTTCCACCTTCACCACAACAGCCAAAACCCACATACACTTGTGGTTAACCCACATGGCCTGGTTATGGTCGGCAGAATCAGATTTATATTTATCCATCCAGCCACCCATTAAGGGAAATGAACAATGCCAGGATCCTCTATCCATTTGGGTGTGCCTGTCAACATAGGTAGACTTTGCAAGGGCTCGTTGAATCCATTCATTCATGTACCACTATGACGAAATAAAAATGGCTCATGTATTTTGAATGAGGATATAAATAGTCCACGCCGCTGGATGTAAAAAGAAAGATATATTTGGCCGAACAGTAAGCTGTACACTCCAGTAAATATCGTAGCCATCACTGATTTGTGTGTTTGATTCCTGTAAATCCTGCTCCACTACACATGGCTATGCATTAATTATTAGTGCATGCTGCAGTGACTGATCCAATCAGATCTTAATAACTGTCACTGTTCACACTCCATATGCATCATAGAAAAAACACATGTGTTTTATAGGCAATGCAGTGTATGTACAGTCAGGCTAATTACCATACATATGACTAAGTTTATCACAGTGACAGGAAGCAGTCGGTGCACAGTGACTGTATACATAATGCATCTCAGTTACAGGTGGCAGCTACTGTCCACTGCCAGGTCCTTAGCCATGGTCAGTAAACAACTACACACACACACACATCCCTAACACACACCATGTCCCCTTAGCATGCACACAGCACATGCATTCATCAACACATTGACCACTGCATGTGATGCAAAGCAGCAGCGTGCAGTTTGCTCTGCTTACATCACCAGCACTGCAACGACTCTTTCTTCCTTTCTCTCCTGCGAATGTTATTGATACACATGCAGCAGAGGAGACCGGCCCTGAGACTAAAACCCGGCGGAGCACAGTGCCCCTCCGCCGGGGAGAGGGTCGTGTTCAGTAGCACATACATGTTCACAGAATGGATGCCTGTGCACCACACGCTGCACATCTTAAAAAAGGGAAACATGATAGGGAATGGCGAATCATGGCATTTTTTTTTTTTTAACACCGGCTCTCCCTTCTTCTCCCTTTTCCTCGCAGGAATGTGGCTGCGCGTCGTGCACTCTATTACCATTAATTCACCGGGACATCATTTAGCCAGGACAAGAGTATGATGATAATTAACGCACAAAGGAAAAAAAGAATGGGGAGGGAAAGGACAAACGTGGCCAGCAGGAATAGCTCCAAATATCCAGTATAAGCATCCATTTTTCCCCCTTTTTTTGTTGTACTTACCTATAATATCCAGCGATGCGTGCTCTCACTCTCACTCTCCCTTTCCTTTCTCCCCCTCTGTTTTGTCGTTTTATGTTGCACGCTGACACGCACAGTCTGTCAACACAGGCTTCATATTGCAACGCGCTCCGATAATAACAATAATGCAGAAGAAATCTCTTTCTATTCGTTGCAGGAAGAAGAAAAAAACCAGGGGTGCCAACTGAAGACTACAAATTGATGCGTATACCCTCGCCTCTTCCCCACCCCCTTTCTCCCCCTTTTTCTTTTTGTGCCCCCCCTTTCTCCCACCCTACCTACTCCCCCTTCTTCCTCTAAGACGACTTGCACTTTTTTTTTTATATATATCCCCTCTTCGGTCTTACAGTCACAATTTTTTAGGGATAGAGAGAGGGATGCACGTCGGGTGAGAGAAAGGGAGAGAGAAGAGGGCGTGATTTGCATGAGGAGAGAGGGGGAGGAGGAAGAGAGGCGCAGAGAGAGGGCCAAAAACTCTGAAGAGGGAGGGGATCAAGAGGGAGGGTCTCTCTCTGTTGCCTAGTCCCTCCAGAGTCACCTTTACTGTAAGAGCTCGGCTGTATCTCAACATGAACCCTGAAGAGGAGGACGAGTCTGTCCAGCAGCTCTTTGTTCCTGCAGGACTCACGTAATCCAATGCAAAACCAGCTGTAAATGTTGATTTAACAGAAAAGACATGTGTGCATTTTACAGATAATGCCAGGGGTTTTAACAAAGAGAGCTGCAACTCGTCAGGAATAATTGCAATCATAAGGAATAACCATATAAAGGTGTATGTTTTCTGTCTGTCTGTGTTTCTGTCTGTCTGTCTGGAGGAAGCTTGCAGCGGTGTGTCCAGTCAAGCGGCTCTGCAGACCTCCCCCCTCCTCCTCTTCCTCACCCCCCTCCTCCTCTTCTTCCTCACTCAGTCACCCCCTCCTCTTCTTCACTCCCTCCTCTTCCTCACCCCCTCCCTCCGCTCCGCTGCTGTCGCCCTCTCTCTCTCTCTCTCCCCTTCACGCAGCCCCCTGTCCCGTCTCCTATTGTGTGGTGACCATGGAAACCGGGATCGGAGACTGTACGCGGTGCGCATGCGCGGCTGCAGCCTTCCTTCATCATCATCAGCAGCAGCCCGGCACGACAAGCAGCAGGAGAAATACAAAAAAGGGGGGAAGAGGGGGGAGAGACAGAGAGAGACAGAGAGAGACAGAGAGGCCTCGTGGAGCTCCCTCTGCTGCTCAGTGAGAGAAACAAACCTCAGACTGGAGGAAATAACAATTAAGCGCGTGCTGCAGCTGGTAATTGATAATTGCTGCCGCGTGCCGACACAATGGAGCCACAGCAACTGAAGTGTTGCTATCAGGAGGGAGCTCGAGGTGCCATATGTGAAGGAAGTGAAAAATAATTAGATATATACCAACTAAAATGATCTACCTGTATATCATGCGTTATCCCTTAATGTATATTGTATTTTATTAGATATGATTTAATTACTGTAAAGTCTTCACATCAGTCTATATTTGTTACATTAAAGCACCTGTTTCTGCAGTATTATCTTTGTACACTGCATATTCTTTATACAATAAACCTTTGCACAGGCAAGTAGGCTATGTGCAAAAATACAGTATACTAATCTAGAGCCGTAAATCATGACGGAAAAACTGCAGAAGATTCCTCGTAAGTTGTTGGATTCCTTTAAGATTCTGTCATAACCTCTCAGGTTTTCACTCAGATGTTTGCAGCAGGAATGACCTTCACCTTTTTCTGCAAGATTCCTGTACTTCTTTTTTGTAAGTGATGTCCAACACCTGCTGTGACATCAATATTTAATGTGGGCAGAAGTGGAACATGGTTGAATGTTTCTACTAGAGAGAAGTGCATGTGGTGTTCTTGCTTTAACCCATATTTAATTCAGTGATTATTCATCTTTTAAAGAGGCCTCATTATGCTTCTTTGTGTTTTCCCTCTCCTGTAGTGTTATAAAGGTTTTTGTGCATGTAAATGGTCTCCAAAGGCTAAAATCCCAACGTTCCCTCAGAGGGAGTTTGTCTCACACTCCCCCCCCCCCTCACCCCTGCCTGAAACACCATTTGACTCCTTTGTTTACTTCTGTAACATAATGACATCACTATATAACACTCACTCTTCTATTGGCTAGCGATTCAACAAATTGTACGTGATAGGGTAAGGGACGGGACATCTCTAAGCGTTTGATCAATCGCAACAGAGCCTGCCAGCTAACCAATCAGAGCAGACTGGGCTCTGGTTTCAGACAGAGGGTGAAAAGAGGTGCTGCAGCACAGGCAGTATGAGAAAAATGCCTTTTTGTTATATTCCATGGAATGCTCTTAACATCCCGATAGCAATGAATACATTAAATGCTTTGACAATAAATACATTAAAAAAATGTCATCAGTGGAAGCCGTGGTACTGTAAAAAGCACGACCAATCATCTGAGCCGGCCCGGCTAAAATAACTGGATGGCCTACCTGCCTGTCAGCCTTCCATCTGTGCACAAACTTATCTGATGCCCTCATTGGTCATGTGTGCGTTCGTGTGTGTTGGAGGAGGGGCTCTGTAAGGAAGTCTGAAGGAAGGGGCAGATTTTTTTCGGCTGCATACTTTCAAATTCTAGCGCACTCGAGCTGGTTTCTCCATTCTTACCTACCCTACCTTTAAAGCATGGAACGTTGTCACAGTAGATACACTAAATACAAATATGAACCTTAGAATTAGCATAATAGGGCCCCTTTAAGTAAGAAGAACAAATGACACAGCAGAGCCTCCACTTTAATAAACAATCGCACAAACATCTTTGGTTCAAATGAATATGTTTCCATTTCTTTATTGAGTATAACCAGACAAAGTGAGATACAATTGTGTAGCAAGCTGCTGAAGGTTCACATTAGAAACGACATGAGGAACAGGGAGTGGAAACATCAGGGCTCAAAAGATCAAAACACATCTGCAGTGACTGAGAGATCAGGGAAGAGAAAGAAACTAACGAGTGCATCAGGGAAAGTGCTCGCTGCCAGGAGGTGAAACACTGATTTCTCTCCTCCAGGCTTTGTTCAGGATTTGCTGCAACTGGCTGCAGTCAATTAAAGTCAACCACTTGCTGAAGCGTATGGTCAATATACTGTAGCTACAGTGCATTTCAGTTATTTGAAAATGATTAGTCTTAATGCTTTTAATCGTGTCTTAGTGAGGTTAAAGCTCTGCGGAAACAAATGTGATCATTTCATTACTATGTGCCCGTCAGGGAAATGAAGTGTGATTGATATGTTGAGCGTGCTAATTAGCTTGTGTGCTAACGCTAATGGCACTCAAAGGGCAGTGGGGTTGCGAAAGTTGTGCCCAGCAAAGCGAGCCTGGTCACCCAACTGTTCCTCAATCCTGAGAGGAGGAAGACAGAGGAGGAAAAAGGAGAGAAATTAAGAGCAGGCAGATGAATGTGAAGGAGAAGAATAGGTAGAAACAACGTGAAAAGGAAGAAGAACAGAGATATTAAAGTGGCATGAAGCTAATAATTGAATATTCACCTCATGAGCTGATTGTATTTGGCCAGACGCTCTGATCTACAGGGAGCTCCAGTCTTGATCTGGAGGTAGAAACAAATATCAAGAATCACACAGAGTAACAGGTACAGTCGTTACAAACCCTTGGTATTTGGAAAGCAAGAAACACTCATTTTAACCATCAAGTGATATTTCCACAGCTTTTGAATAAATCACGGATGTAAAATGTCAAAAATAATGGCAGCTATTTCTAAAATGTCATTAACATTTCTAGACCAAAAGTATTCACTGTACATAGAGAAGCAGCCTTTTCTAGTACCAGCATTTTTTTGCTGTAATCAGCGAATGTTTGGTTTGTTTTACTTAAGATCCGATTGACAATATTGAATGTTGGTGTTCTGTGGACTTACAGTCATTTCAGAAACACAGTGCATAGTTATTTTGTGATATAGCTTAAATTGCTAAAAAGGCAATGTCATCCTTCCATTTCTTTTTTATTACATTACATTTTTCTTGAGCTACTTTAGCATTCTTGCACAAGTCTTATTGTTTTTTTGTGTTGTCTTGTTTTCCAAACTGTGCTGTTGCATTGTTTAGTTTTATATTGTGTCATTAACGTAATGTGACGAAGACGAAATAATGAAATGAAATGCAATGACACTGTGTGTGTGTGTGTGTGTGTGTGTGTGTGTGTGTGTGTGTGTGTGTGTGTGTGTGTGTGTGTGTGTGTGTGTGTGTGTGTGTGTGTGTGTGTGTGTGTGTGTGTGTGTGTGTGTGTGTGTGTGTGTGTGTGTGTTACCTGTCCAGTGCAGAGACCGACCACCAGGTCAGCTATAAAGGTGTCCTCTGTTTCTCCTGAGCGATGACTCACCATCACTCCCCAGCCGTTCTCCTGAGCCAGCTTACACCTGAGAGGCAGAATAAATACATACAAATATGTGATGCATGCTCTCTAATGGCAGGCATATACATTGCATACTTGAAATGTTTATATAAGGTTATAGTAAATTGTATTGTGATATATTCATTTATTATAATATAAGAGTTCCTTTCATGGTCTTTTAATTGTGTGGTATTGCAATATTATTATTTCAGCCCTTGTACATGGCTTTGTTAAAGTGGTACTTTGAGACTGGAAATGATTGTTTTGAGACTTATCTGACATAAAGTTTGTACTTATTTCGCCATAAGATTTGATGTTTTTGACCAATAACTCTTAGTTTTCTTTTTTAATAAGCTCTATTCTGACCTCCCATTTCATCTAACCTTGTTTTCTTGTAGCTTGACTATATGGATTAATATTTAATCAAATCAAATCAAATCAAAATGCAACAACATAAGTATTGCCATGTGATAAAAGCATGTGACTGAAGTGATGCTAATGTAGAATCAGTTCAAGAAGAAAAAGATGTGTGTCTTTGTCTATGCATCAAACACACACACGCACGCACGCACACACGCACACACACACACACACACACACACACTCACGCCTTGATGGCCTCGGTGACGGAGCCGATCTGGTTGACTTTGAGCAGCAGGCAGTTGCAGGCCTTGTCGTCGACGGCTCTCTGGATCCTGCGGGGGTTAGTGACGGTCAGATCGTCTCCCACCACCTGCACGGTTTATAAAAACACAGTTACCGACAGATTAAAGTGCACGTTGCTCCTCACAGAGATAGCATCAGGTCCACGCTGCCCAGGAAGTCTGTTGTCGGCCTACGTGTGTAAATCAAGTTATATTCCAATGACAGCACATTGGGAGCTCCACTGATTACACGTATAGATCAGCCTGCACTGTAAACTCAGGGCGAGGAAGGTCAATAAAATACACTATTGAGTTTCAGTATGGACATGGCAGAATCCAGCTTTTTAAAGACATACTGGCACTGAAATCAGAATACCTGGACCACTGCACCATACATGTTTGACAATTTGTTATGGTTGGAAGTGCAAATACTATTCTCTCTACTCTTTTAAGGACCAGAATAATTCATCCCCAGATAAAAAGAAAAAAGTAATTTCCTGATGGCATTTTCTTAAACCGATGTTTAACATTATTTGTCATTTTTAATGCAGGGGTCTTCATGTTCTTCCAGGTAAAGGACCCCTTAGCTGAAAGAGAGATTGAGCAGGAATTCCCTATTAAATGTATAAATGGAGTTGCATTTTAAACTAGACCCAGACAGCAACTTGTATGCTGTGTGTTAACATACAGTTGTATAGTGAATACAATAGTAAGAAAATGAAATAATAACTATTGAAAGATTAAGATTTATTTTTAATTTAACATAAACTTTGATTATTTTTGGGCCCGATAAGCCTTTATTGGAGAGTGAGGGTGTTGAAAGAGGTAGATAGAGGGGACAACATGCGTCAAAGAGTCGAAGCAGGATTCGAACCTGCGTCTGCCGCAGCTGTAACCACTGAGCTTAACCTTAGAGTATGTTTCTTATTACTTGTTTTTGAAAATGTTGTGGTCTCATGTACCACTACGTTTCCCCCATGTTTCTTTTTATGCTGCACCAGAATTGCACTTCTGGGACAATAACGCTTTATTGAATTGAATTGAAAGCGTACCTGGATTCCCACTGAGGCTGTGAACTCTGACCAGGCCGGCCAGTCGTCCTGGTCGAAAGGATCCTCAATAGACACCACTGAAAGAAAGACAGATGGTTTTAAAAAATAATGTCTAATAACACAACCTTTGAGACCCCTTTGTTATCTCTATTACCCACCTACAAGTCAATAGCACTAAGCAGCGGTGATATAATGCCTTGAAATGCACTCACATTAAACACAAACACCCACACAAGCAGGAAGCACACCATTGACGGGGTAAAGAGCCACATCAGAGGAGGTCCCTGCTTGCCAAATGTTCGCTGTAGCGCATAATTAAAACCTCTTTAACAGCCCGGGAGTCAGAGGAGACATCCAGCTCTCTTGTTCACTTAGTTTCCCTATAAAAAGGTGATGACAGAAATATGGCAGGCGTATAAATATAGAAAACAAGCAAGTGTGTCCATTTGCTGATAGAGATCCAATCAGATGTTAACAGTGATGCTGTGTTTCCATGAGACCTGTGCCAGGAGAAATATTGTTACTTTAAAAGGTCCATGATGAATTCTCCCCTCTATGTAACTATTCCCAGCTGTGAGAGTGTGTCTGACACATGTTGGACTTGTTTCGGGACACACACATGAGAACACACACCTGGGTAGTCCTTGATGAAGCCCTGGTAGATGCTGGCCAGCTCCTCTCCGCTGATGTTGCGAGCGGCGTTGGGCGGAGACTTGAAGTCCAGGTCGTACTTCCCCTCGCTGAAAAACTCTGAAGCAGCGACGTCCATCCCGATCACCACTTTGTCTGTGAAGCCCGCTTTCTCTATGGCTGTCTTTATCAGCTCCAGGGCTGACGGAGAGAAGCAGAAATATGTCAAATCACAGGCTTTTAAAGGGGGGAGTTTGCTTGTTTTGAAGTATATGTATGAGGAAATTATTATCAAAATTCGGGGTTGTTTCCTACAGTAGATGTTGGTCGCCAAACCTCCACTTCTGGGAAGGAGGAAGAAGTACAGGCATGGAAGCTAAGCAGATGTACCGATGTTGATGTAGATATGACGTCTCCATTGGTTAGTTATTTGTGTTTTTTCAGACTTGGGGGAATACCAGAGATGGAGTACTCGAGTCCTGGATTTTCGGGACTCGTGACTCGACTCGGACTCGCGCACTGATTGACGCGACTTGGACTTGGACTCGTGAATTCTCGCGCACGATGACTTGGACTCGGACTTGGACTCGGACTTGGACTCGTGAATTCTCGCGCACGATGACTTGGACTCGGACTCGTGAATTTTTCCCCCCACGATGACTCGGACTCGACTTGTACATTGACGCTCCGACTTGGACTCGGACTCGGACTACGACTCTCCCTAGGTGACTCGGACTTGGACTTGGACTCGGACTCGAAGAGTGGTGACTCGAGAGCGACTTGGACTCGTGAATTGGTGACTTGACTACAACTCTGGTGAATACTAACAAATCCTTAAAGACACCAAACCCTGACAACAGCAACAAAACTAAATGATGGAGGCAGCGGGAGGCCGGAAACTCCTGTGCTCTGCGAGGTAGAATTACTATTTATGTCAAAGGAGTCGTGTGGTTTTTAGTAAGTAATAAGAATGGCTACAGTTCCCTGGCTACAGTTCCCTGTCTTAAAGTGCAGTTTGACAACAAGGTGTAACTATTATAAATACAGCATAAACGTATGAGTGTTGGAAAGAGATTGTAAGGAATGCTCTAATGTTGGGACAACTATGGATAAGGGCCTCATACAGCCCCACTTCAAAACATCCAAACAATCTCTTCAAGGTAATAGTAATAAAGCTTTATTTATAGAGCACTTTTCATACAACACATGCAGCTCAAAGTGCTTTACAAAATGACACATCACAAGTTAAAAAGAAATTCCCCTCAGATTATTTGTTAAGAACTTTAAAGGTACATGCAGCAAAATATAACATTTGATCAGGTTAACAGACACAAGGAGGTCAAATGTATGATAATACAAATAAAATACAATAAATAATCTCTCTGACGGATAAAACACAAGACAACTGAGTCGATGCAACAATATAAAATATAAAACCCCATAAAACAAAGTAAACATATAGGTACAACAGAAATACAAATAAAAAGATAATAGTAATAAAAATGCCATAATTCTAATAAAGTTTAAACGATTAAGAAATAAAAAAGAGAATATTTAACATTTGTCTTTGCTTACCTTCCCTGTTCTCCTGTATGTTTGGGGCGAACCCTCCCTCATCCCCCACGTTGGTAGCATCCTGACCGTACTTCTCCTTGATGACGTCCCTCAGGGTCTGGTAGAGCTCCGCCCCCATCCGCAGAGCGTCACGGAAAGACTCCGCCCCCACAGGAAGTACCATGAACTCCTGCATCGCCAGCCTGTTCCCAGCGTGGGAGCCGCCGTTGATCACATTGAAGGCCTGAGTGAGGGACCGATAACACAGATGAGATTGTATTGTGTTTGTAAGAATAGAGGGGTGCAGGAATGAGTCCTCAATGCAGAAATGAGTCAGCATTTTAGCACTTCTGGGTTCCCTTGTCTCGCAGGCAATGGTTTTTGGTGAAAATAAGGTCTGTGGTTAACACAAGCTTATGAGATGTTCACGTGTGTCTTAAAAAGAGAGTATTCTATCAAGTGACTAAATGAGACAACTAAAACATCATCACACCAAACGTTAGCCATCTTTAGTTTAGCAGTGGTGACGCACACGTGGCTGTAGTTCCTTTATAGCCTATTGTTAGCTTATTAGCTTTAGCTTGTGGTGATTGAACAAAACATGTAAGTAGCATAAACGTGTGTTTTCCACAGATCTTATTTTACAGCTATAATCCAATATCCAATGGAAAAATCGTATTGGCTCCATGTCGAGTGACCCCTTGCACTGCTTACTTCGTGGTCAGCCTACACCAGCGGTGTCAAACTCAAGGCCCGGGGGCCAAATCCGGCCCGTGACTTCATTTTCTGTGGCCCCACAAGAGCTTGCAAAGAATATAATATGTTTATTATACGGTTACATGATGATTTACAGAAGCACGTTGCCCATAAACTACATGTCCCACAATGCATCTCAAATTAGACTTTTTTCTCAGAATTTGACTTTTTTTCTTCTAAATACGCCTTTTTTCTCAGAATGTGCCCTTTTCTCAGAATTTGACTCTTTCTTTAAATGTCACTTTTTTTAAATGTCACTTCTGTTCTTTTTTTTTTCAGCTTTTCTTTTTAAATCATTTTGTGACATTCTCACTGAAGAGACTTGCAATTATTTTCCCCAGACTTCTGCTTTCAGACGTAGTTAATTATGAAGTTATTACCCTATCCGATAATAATCCAATGCAGAGGCAATAATGTAATATAATACATTATTTTATATATATATACATTTTATATATAAGTTACAACCGGCGCTTTGAGTGCAGCCATAATGCTGATGTGGCCCGCGATTAAATTGAGTTTGACACCCCTGGCCTACACAGATGCATCATCACTGCACCACTCCTTTGCATTTTCTCAGAATAACTCAGAGGACTCACAGGCACTGGGAGGACCAACTCTTCGTTTCCTGCCAGGTCAGCGATGTGGCGGTACAGGGGGACTCCCTTCTCTGCTGCACCAGCTTTGCATATGGCCAGAGATACTCCCAGAATAGCGTTGGCCCCAAACTTAGCTGGAGAGAAAACACAACACACAACACATGGGTGCTGCAGGCAGGGACCACTGGTGCGGAAAACACGTGATAACACAAACATGCTATCACCACACATGAGATGCCAGCGAGGCTTACATTTGTTTTCAGTGCCGTCCATTTCGATCATCATGTTGTCCAGCTTCTCCTGCTCCAACACATTGATTCCCTGAGAGAGAGACAACATGTCAGAGAACTTCACCATGCCATTTTATGCTTTAAAGGTGACATATCGTGCTCAGTCAAGGTCATGCTGCTATTGTGGGCTTCTATTAGAACATGTGTACATGCTTTAATGTTCAAAAAACACATTCATTTTCTCATACTGTGTGTCTAAATATAGCTACATTCACCATCTGTCTGAAGCACTCTATTTCAGAGCCTTTTTAAGCTAACTCACCCAAAAATGCCCGATCTGCTCTGATTGGCTTGCAAGAAAAAATATCTCTCAATCCATTTGTGAAGATACTCAGATTGGGGCAGTACATTCTAATGAGCCTGCCTTTTATCTTAATCCTAACAAAGAGTCTTAATTCATTTTAAAGACCCGATGTACGCACGATAGGCAGGTGAATTTTGAACGAGGGTTAATTTAAAGTAAATTACAGCGTCACAGGTCATTTCCATCGAAATTACATCCCGCCCGGTCCACTACAGATTTGATTATTCAATAGTTTATGCAAAAAAACTGCGTTGAAAAACTAAAACATGATACCACGGTCAAAAACGTGAAGACTTCCAACATATTATTAGCATACCATGGTGAAGAAACTCCTTTTGGACATGCATATTAAAAGATGTGTAACAGCACTATTACCTGGTATACATAATACACATTTTATAACAGAAGAAGAGTAAACAGAATCATAGCCTTAACATAGTCCAAGAATATCAGTAAATACAAAACTATATAAAAATGGAAATATGAATTGAAATGATATTAAACAACTACATTAATCTGTGATACCAAGAGAACATTTTCTCTCAAGTATGTGCGTCATTGGCTCTTACAATGCATGGGACATAAGGAGGATGGCCAATTCTGAATTGCTTGCTGAGTCATGTTTTCTGACCAAGGCAGCACAACAAAAAGTTTTATTGCTAAGGGTGGTTTGAACTCCATACTTTGTACAAACATGGGTATAACTACACGTTATATATACTCATTCTCAAAACTTGACATGTGTTTTTGTTCACTGGGCTTTCTTAAGTCCTTGTGCACATACTTCAGATACAGTATGTGCACAAGGACTTAAGAAAGCCTGTTTCTTTTATGAATTGTCCCCTTTAAATTGATCATATTCTGCACTGGTACTCACAGACTGGATGAGGGCCGGTCCAAGGGTGTCATTAATGTGACCGACAGCTTTGGTTACACCTAGAGCAGGAACATAAGAGATATGTGAGTCTGTCCTCTTTCATGTCTCAAAATCACATACTAAAATGCTCATGGCAAAAGTAGAGGAGAGACAGAAGGACATGTCTTGGTTTAAGTGCTCACCTTTGCCCTTGTAGCGAGTTTTGTCTCCATCACGAAGCTCCAGAGCCTCGTAGATGCCGGTTGACGCACCGCTGGGAACACCAGCCCTGAACACACCTGGAAAAGACGTTTTATCTTTGTAAGTCGAAGGTTTAAAGGTCGAGGAGGGTAAGAGAAGGTAGGAGTACGCTTTTTTAAATGATGGTTTTTCAAAGTTAACATCAGATAAGGTACACTGTCAAGCACAAACTCAGCTGACAGAACAAACTTGTCTGTACCTTTGCTAGTGTGCAGATCTACTTCCACAGTGGGGTTTCCCCTGGAGTCCAGGATCTCCCTGGCAACAATATTAACTATAGACATCCTGCACAAAAAAGAAAGAAAATAGCTGTATTTAAACATGTGTGCTATACATGACAACGCAGTGCTAATACACCAACATGTATCATAATCATCTTCTTATGTAGGGTTGTTGAGAAAAAGGATGAGCGAGGGATTCGGTGTACAAAGAGACAGATGGAAATAGAAAATAGCCGATGTCGAAAATAGCATTTCATTTAAGATAACAGCCTCAATTTCCATCAGTCACAAGGACTTCACACTCTCTGCCGAACATTGTGATGATAGTGACGCAGCCTTCGGGATGACAGCCTGTGGAAAAGATGCTAGCACACACACACACACACACACACACACACACACACACACACACACACACACACACACACACACACACACACACACACACACACACACACACACACACACACACACACACACACACACACACACACACACATATAAACCTCCGTTACACAGAGAAGGACACATAAATCAAAAGCTAATAATCCATACCTATTTATGAACCTACTGTCAACCTGTTCCGGACCACAAACCAGTTCAATTTCTCTGCTGATTCAGGCAGTGACAGAGAATGAGGACCAATGGAGGGATGAGACGGTGAAAAAGCACAGAGCAGGAGGAGAGGAGGAGGAGAAAAGGAGGAGGGATTGAAGAAATAATAGATCAATCTTTTTCAACATTACCTGCAGAGCGTTGGAAGCCTGGTGGAGAAAGCGAGAGGATGTGGGCGAATGAGAGGGAGAGACAGAGGGACGGGAGGTGGGAGGAGAAGGGGGAGAAAACGTACGACATGCAGGGGGGGAGGGGGAGGTGTGAGTCATTGGAAGATGCAGAGAGGGGAGGGGAGTATAAAAGCATTTGCACTTCATAGGCTTGAGTGAAGCAGGAAAAATACATTCCCTTTTGCATCAAAGGTCACCTATTATACTGTTTCTCATCAATATATCACAGGTCTCAGATAAATACAGAGCCTGTCTCTGATTGGCTGAAACACCAAACAGATCATTGCAGCATCCCATAATCCCCTCTGTTTCAGCCCTGTTTCAAAAGTGCTGATTCTCTGTCTGTAACTTTAGAGCAGGGGTCTCCAACCTTTTTTAGGGTGAGGGCTACTTTCAAAAAATAAAACAAGTCGTGAGATACTTTTTTAGCACATTTTAACATTATTATCTGCTGACCTTTAACCTGTGTGTGCTGTTTGGGTCTGTGGGACCAGTTTTCAGTGTTTATTAAAAGAAAATGTATGCAATTTAATTATTTTAACCTGCTTTATTTGGGGGTGGACCTCGCCTCCTCTAGGGGGGTCCGGGGGCATGCATCAATCTGGAGCACTTTGAGCACAACATGAATTGAAGGATACAGCTCTCAACACTCAGATGAAAGAGAGCTGTATACTTTTCAATAATCCAAACATCTTTAGAATATGATCACAACCAATAAAAAATCATTTAAACTGGTTTATTCTTATCTTATGTTACCTACTTTTTATTTATGCATATTTTACTAATCACTCCCCTTTGAAATACAATATAGTACAAATTGGAATGATTTCTTACTTTATTTGTTACAACTATATTAAATAGATAAAGGTGTGCTCTCCCTAGCTAAAAAATAATAATAAACATATTTGTAAAGTGGGGGGACACAAACGGGATTTCGAAAAGTGGGGTGGACATATCCCCCCTGTCCCCAGTGGAAATTACGCCATGCATGTGTGTGCGTCAAGTGCAATAAATATGCAAGTTGCAACACACACAGAGTAAAGCTCTGGCCCTCATGTGCTGCTGGCATGATAGGCTGTTCAACGGGGCGGCTGATGTGTTGTGAAGATTCTGCCAGAAGGAAAATCCCGGTCACACTCCTTATGAAGTGTGCTGTGAGCTGCCGCTCCACTTTGCTTTTCTTCCCGACTGCAACGCTGGTCCCACAGATCAAGCAAGAACGTGATTGGTCGATATTCATTGTGGGGGTGGGGGGGAGGAGGGGTGTTAGATATGGAGTTGAAGTAAGTATAGTTAGCTATGATTGAGGTTTCGTTTATGCATAGAGTAGATTCTTTTAATTACATTTCCTTTTTTTTTCGGTGTATTTTTTACATTTTGGGTTACCTTGGTTGCTGATTGGCTAATGGTTACACAAGCCAACAAATCGTTATGACATCATAAAGTGGCCAAAATCTGATCAGCTCATTTTCAGACAGGTTTATATATAAATGGATCAGGACAAAAAGTGAGCGAATCTTTTTTCCCAAAACTTTCAGAGTCTCTTTCCACAGAGGGGACACATGTTGATGTAGAAGAGACATGAAGAAGAGGGGACACATGTTGACGTGGAAGAGACATGAAGAAGAGGGGACACATGTTGACGTGGAAGAGACATTAAAAAGTGGATTTTGCATGATAGGTGATCTTTAAACATTGTGTTCCTGACTCAAGGCTTGTCATTTGTTGCCGAGTGTGCATGTGCACATCAGCTAACAAAATGCAAGATGACATGTGTGCAAATATTGTCCCAGCAAACTGTTAACATTTAATTTGCTGCCAAATCCAGGCAGAGCTGTTATGACTGCAGAGAAATGTCATAACAGGCTGAAAGGTAACTTGGAAACAAACATCTGTATCCTTCCGATGTGGAAAGACAGGCAGAACATTTCAGATCAAAGAGAGCATGAGGAGGATACATCTAAGAGAAGACAGATGCACAAAACGAGCTGCCGTGTCGGAGGAGTTTAGAGATCTAATGACGAGGATGAAAGAAGACAGGAAGTAGACAGGTGACGAGACGCTGGAGGGAGAGTTTAAAAATAGATATGGTTGTAATTAAAGATACAGCGTGCACAAAAAGGAGGCCGGCAGGGAGATGGGAGAAAGTGATTTGTCAAAACAGAAGCTGTTCATTGGCTGCTCCACTTGAGAGCTCCATCTGGAGGTCACATGACCTGCAGACATGATGCACAGGGAAGAGGAAGCACGGATACATGCACATGCAGTGCTATAATGCTTTTTGGGGTTTTCCCCTTTCCTGTAGTGTTATATATGTTTTAGTGCATGTAAATGGTCTGCAAAGGCTAAAATTCCTGTAATGTAATGCCTGAAACGCCTCCATTGGACTCTGTTTACTTCCATAACATAATGACCTCACTATGTAACACTTGTGCTTCTATTGGCTAGCGCTCCAACACATAGTACGTGATAGGCTAAGGGGCGAGACATCTCTAAGTGGTTGAACAATCACAACAGAGCCGGCCAGCTAACCAATCAGAGCAGACTGGGCTCTGGTTTCAGACAGAGGGTGAAAAGAGGTGCTGCAGCACAGGCAGTATGAGACAAATAAAGAGCTTTTTGAACATTAAAGCATGGAGACATGTCACAGCAGAGACACTACATACAAATATGAACCTAAACATTTGCATAATAGGGCCCCTTTAAAGTAAAACACGGCAGCAAAATGACACATTTACACACAGAGGAAAACCAATTAGCCTGCACACACAAACCAAGAAAAGGACATATTTAGTTGAATATATATATATATATATATATATATATATATATATATATATATATATATATATATATATATATATATATATATATATATATATATATATATATATATATATATATATATATATATATATTGCTTTTAAGCTGTACGTTGAAGAGTATTACGATTCAGTTTTAGAAAACATTCCATCATTTATTATTCAAGACATCCAATCTCAAACACAAGCACAACAGACACATTTTGTAATTATCTAACAATGTTTAATGAACTTTTTATTTAGTTAGATTAATTAGTTAACAGTATACAATTCAATTCACTGACACACTAGTGTCTTCACAAACATAAAATGGACTGTACAGCAGATGTACTGTATACTGTTGCACTTTAGTGCAGTGGGCAAAAACACATGTCAAGTTTTGAGAATGAGTATATATAAAGTGTAGTTATACCCATGTTTGTACAAGGGTGTGTGTGTGTGTGTGTGTGTGTGTGTGTAGAGTGTAACAGTGGAGGAGGAGTTAATGTAACTATCAAGCATGTGGGGTTTGGTTGTGTGTGTATGTGTGTGTGTATGTTGTTCATGAATAGACAGTCCAGTCATATCAAACATTTACGACGGGCAGTTGTGACGATCATCACCGTCCGTCTTCAGCGTTTCACAGCATCGGGGGAAATCTTCCCTCAACTCCTTTCATCTGAGCGCCAAGTGGGAAACCTGCAGGGAGAGCGGACCAAACGCAGAGGTTAGTACCACGAATAACGGAGGGGCAAACTCAACAGATCATTTATTGAACAATTCAGGATTTCTAAAAAGGAATACTTCACCCAGAAATGACGTGTGAATGTGTGCATCAATTACTCACTACATGTTTTGACATTTTCTTACAGGAATTTTAGATTTTAATTTCGACTCCACGAGTGAGACTATGGAACAGTGTGAACGTGGAGCTCAAGCGATGTCCAGACATTAACCAGTTCAAGAGGAAATACAGAGAATTATTTTCTCGAGGTACAGGGATGGGGAAGGTGTTTGACTATGTGTATATGTGTATATGTGTGAGTATGTAGGTATGTATATGTGCATATATGTGTGTATGTGTACATATATATATGTCAATTTTCATGGGAAAGCAGATTAATAATAATAATAATAATAATAATAATAATTATTATTGCAGATTATAAATAAATCATTTAGGGAAAAGGGGGTGAGATTAAATAAGTTATACTTCTTCTCACTCCTTTTCGAACACTATGTGGGACTGTTTATGTTGCTAATGTTGTTGTAAATGTCATTTTTTGTTTTGATTTCTCTTACATGGACGATGCACTGCAATCAATCAAATGAAGGATGCAAAAATTGTATAAAGTTCTTTATGGGAAAATGTGGAGGCCTGGTTTATCAAAACTTCCATCTGCAAACTCTCACAATTGGATGAGTAATAGATAAATAAATGCTCATTGTGGGGGTGTAGTATTTCATTCAAAGGGGGCATATTCTGCTTTTTGGGGGTTTCCCTTTCCCGTTGTGTGTTAAAAAGGTTTGTGTGCATGCAAAGGCTAACATCCCTGTGTTCTCTCCAGAGGGAGTTTCTCTCCCACCGTGACATCACTATGTAACTCTCGTGCTTCTTTTGTTAGCAGTGTTGTGGTTGTTTGATCAGGAGTTTTTAATATCTGTATCATGGGTCCAGAGGCCTGTACTACGAAGCCGGATTTTCGCTTAGCCGGCTGACTTCAGGGAAAACTCGGGCTTTCCAGTCCTACGACGCTGGTTCTCTTTTTAGCGGGCTAGATCTCCATGGTAACTTATGCTGAGCGGCTAACTTCCTCGGGAGGAGGTTAGGTGGCAGGCTAAGAGATCAACTCAGTGAAAGCACCGCCTGCTGACCAATCAGAGCTCCGTGTGCGGAGTTTAAAGCGATCAAGTCATATTACAGGATAGAGGAAATACAGAAAAACTGCCGTTGCAGGAAAGACGGCCGGCCAAAATCAACTGTGTGAACGTGAAAATGAATAGAATATCCCCTCCCATCTTCAGAGCAATCTGACTATTATAACATTAGCGTTAAGAAAGCTTACTTAAATATCTGCCACAACATAAGTAACCGGATCAGAGTAACATTAAGTACAGTCCGCGGCACTGTGAGTGCAGACGTCGATGTGTCCCATTATCATTCATATCATATCACATCATAATGTATCATATATTTCCTTATTTGAGTCAGCTTCTTGAGCCGTATCTGGCCGTGCAACACTCACAGTGTCACATACTGTATGCAGAAGTATTATTTTAAG